CCCTAAACCCTAACCCTAACCCTAACCCTAACCCTAACCCTAACCCTAACCCTAACCCTAACCCTAACCCTAACCCTAACCCTAACCCTAACCCTAACCCTAACCCTAACCCTAACCCTAACCCTAAACCCTAACCCTAACCCTAACCCTAACCCTAACCCTAACCCTAACCCTAACCCTAACCCTAACCCTAACCCTGCTTGGTTTGGGTAGTACTACCGTAAGGGCCTTTTTAAAGCGCTTCGGGAAATAGCTTGTAGCAATCGTTGCGTTGGCAAATTTCGCGATAACGGTTGCGCCCGGCAGTCCGGCGGCTTTAAATAGCCCGTTCGGAAGGTGGTTTTAGCCCGTGGCTTTTTACGGTTTAATGCGGCCCGTTGCTTCCATAATGTTTTGCGGGGTAACGAAAACGGGCATTTGGAAAGGGTTTGGGAAAAAGTGGTTCGGGAATTCGGTTTCGCTAATGTTGGAAGTGTTAGCTAGCGGGTTTGGAAAGAACTTAAATAATAAGATTTCGGCTTTTTTTTGGTAGCTGCAAAGCGCTAACCCCATTTAATAAAAGCAATTTTTTAAGCAAATTAATATAAATAATTTACTAAGTTACTATATAGCAATTATCCAAAACATGCCCGCGGTTACAATATTTTAAATAATTTATCGCTTTTTTACAAATTTTTTTAACCCGATTTTTTTCTTTTATCGCCGGGTTAAACAATGTTATTAATTAATTTTAACTTTAACTTATTTGCCCTTTTTTAATTTGGTAAGTAATGCTTGTTTTTAACAATTATTATAAATTGTATAGCGCAATGGTAACGCGTTTGCTTTTGTAACGGGAAATTTTGGGTTTAATTTCCAGTATAACTTTGGTTCCGAATAACAATTTAAGCTATTTAAAACCCTTTTTCTTTTTTTTTTTTGCTTAAATTTGTTAATTTATCCTTTGGATATGTTATATAATTTAAACTTCCGTAATTATAGCTATTACCGTAGCGGTAAAAATTGGCAATAAAAACCAAAAAAAAAAAGGTTCGTAATTTGGGCCATTTCCGTAATTTGAATTTCCGTAGCTTTAGCCACTTCCGTAGCGGTAAAAACTAGCGATAAAAATTTAAAAAAATAAGGTTTATAGTTTAAACCATTTCCGTAGCTTAAATTTCCGTAGCTTTAGCCATTTCCGTAGCGGTAAAAGCTAGCAATAAAAACCCCAAAAAAAAAGCGCTTCCAACAACGCAATAGCAATTAAACATGCAACCAAACCCCCGCAAATATATTTATATTAACATTTACCAATCGATGCATTCAATTTAAAAAAAAAAGCGCGAATTAAAACAAATAAATTACAATTTTTAAAATAAAATTTGGAATTAATTTCGTTAAATTGCATTATTTATTAATTGTAATTGTAATTTGTTGGGGTAAAAAGCAACAAAAACCCAAATGCGGAAAAGCAACCATTTTAATTAAAAAAAGCGAAAGCGACAAAAACCTTAAAATAGTAAAGCGCAGCATCCAAAAAAGGAAAAGCGAAAGCGATAAAAACCTGAATTAAGCTTAGCGTTTTTTCCGTATTGGAACGGCATTGGCTTTCAAAACCTAAACTTAAGCCGAAGAACATAAATGAATGGTGCCGTGCCTTTTTCGGATTGTCGTGGAGCATTACTCGGTGGGTGCCGTGTTTTCCGCCCCCCAGGCCGACTTTGAGCGGATGGAGGAAATTAACAAGGAAATTGGGCTTACTGTCATTTTGCAGGCGGGCTTCGGGTTTGGGGGGCAAGCGAGGAAGCTAAGGTTCCGGAAAGCAAGAACGCGATTTAACAATGGAAACTCGGTTGTAACTTTGCCACAATGGGGTGGGATACTAGGAAATAAAAACGAAAGCAAGAACAAAAGACAGGAACAAAAGAGAAAAAAAAAGACGGCATTTATTTCAACCACCAAAATCCATCCGCAAAACATGCCGCTGGTACCACGGCCAAAACTCCTCCATAGAATACCGGGCCAGCCGCCGGAGACACCATATAATGCGGTAAATTCCGTGAACGCTCGAAGTGTCGCCCATAGTGCAGTTGGTCCATAGCGTACTTTGTGATTGAATCGCCATCCCTTTGGAGCCGGTAGCGGGAGCGGCATCGCGGGTTAAAGCCGCAAACTTCCATTCGTGCCCCACGATGTAAACGGCTGGCAAAAAGTCCACCCCGTGCAGCGCCAGATACGGTGGTCGCGACGGCGGAGCAGCGAACAAGTCTGCCGGTCCTGTAGGCGCCGGCGGCAAGGGCGGGGCCAGCTCCTCGAGCATCCTCCACTGGGCCGCCTGCCAAATGCCCAGCTGGGCTATGGCTTCGTCCGGGGAGCCATCGGGGCGCTTGGTTTCGATGCTAACGGCTATAGGTCGCGAAATTAAGGGTTCGTAGCTAGTATGGCTAATGGAACGTTCCGGAAGGTAAAATTGGCGTTCGGTAATGGCGCGCAAGGCGGGAGTATCGACGCCGCGCTGGTGGGGCCAGTGCGGGTTGATAGTAATGCAATAGTCAACACGAGATGACGATGTGCTAAGGGGTTGGAACCGAGGCTGGATTTGCGCCGTGATGCTGCAAAAAAAGTAGTGGACCGAGATGTATTAGCTATCCATAACGGCCCCAGCGTGCGTGCTTGTATATGTGTTATCCTACCAAGGTGTAACTTCGAGCTGGCTGCCGTCCGGGACGGCCAGACGCATGAGAGGATAGTGAACAGCCATGTTCCAACCGGCCTCGTCCCAGCCGTCCTCCTCGCATTGTGCCGCCTTGGCTAACAACGATACAACGTCGGCCAAGCTAGGCGACTCTTGAGCCTCGAACGGCCGGCCTTGGTGCTCGGGCGGCGGGGCGGCGAAGAAGGCGGATTCGGGCATGGCGGCGATGTCGTTGAGGGGCGCTTCGGCTTGCATTATCTCTGTGTATCGAGACGAGGACACACAGCCAGCCCACGACTTTTTAAAGGCCGCATCAAGCTCGCCGAGGCGTGGCGGCAGGAGCATGGTTCTAACGCCTGTGGCGAAAGTCTTGATATTAACTCGGTCCGGCGCCACCTTCATGTCTCTCTTCCTTTTGCGACCTGTGGACGACGGTTGGCTGCCCGTAGTTTGTTTGTCAGACGAAGCCGACGACCCAGCGCGTGACGAGCGTGACGAGTGTGATGTGGACATGTGGCGGTCGAGCTGGCGGTGCCGTGGCCGATCGACGAGGGTAGCCCGCGGCGTGTCGTCGTTGGCAACGGCTCCATGGCTTGACAGGTCCGCGTCTGGGGGGGTTGTTGCCTCGCGGCGGGCGCTGTCCTGGCCGTGGTCCATCTGTCCCGACGCAGAGCGCGACAGTGGTGGCGTGCGGAAATCAGCGCGACAGGGGTCGCATCGCCTTCTCTTGGCAAGGCCGTCTGGCTGCGGCTGGGACAGGTCTTCGTCCTTGGCAGCTCTCGGTCGCTTACGGAGGTCGACTTGGGCGTCGACGTCGGCGCCGTCAGGGATCGCGTCGAGCCAGCGCAGAAAGTCGGTGCGGCGCATGGGCGTGGGTTGTGTGGGTTGTTTTATGTGTCGGCCTTCGTGACGGGCCTGTTGGCGACCGTTCTGCGGAGGGAGAGGCGAGGCGGTTCGTCGCTTGTTGGCGCCGGCGGCGTCGGGGGAATCTCGTCGTCGTTTCGTGCGGATAGGGTGCGAGTACGCTTGGATTCGGCATGAAGGGGTCGGCTGCGCTACCATAATAGCGGCGGGTGTTCTTGAAGGAGTGCCGTGCTTTAGCGCAGCTGACGGAGCTGCTGCCTCCAACGGATCCACCGGCCCACATCGCTGCGCTGCCTCAAGTTAGGCGCCCAGAAAAATGGCTATGGCAACCAAACAAAACACCAAGCCAACTTTTCCACCTCGGCGCGCTCACCACTAGCTAGGACGCACCTAGCCGCCGCTCCGAGCCAGCGCGCCTTCCGCACCGACACGACCCGAACAACCCAACATGCCCGACGACCCGCGCGATAACGAGCTCCTACAGCGGCTAGCTGCTCTCAAGAAGCGCACCGGCCGCCCAGACAACGACGGACCGAGCCCCCCAGGCCCGCCGCCCGACCTCCCAGGCCTGGTGCTGCCAGCCACCAAGCCCGCCACTTCCTCCCGCGGCAGCCACAACCCAGCAGCAGCAAACAACGACGACCGCGCCGCCCGCCGCCAGGAGCGTCGCCAGCAGGCCCGGCAGGACTTTAAAGCGCAGCTCTTGCGTGAGCAGCAGCCCCGATCTGGCTTTTCTTGCGGCACCATGCTGTTCGTCGCAGCTTTCGGTGTCGCTTTGGCCTTGTATTTCCATTTTTGTCCGTCAACGCCTCCTTGCTTCCTTGCGCACCTTGCCTTTCCCGCTGCCGACCGGTGCCTCCCTGCTGACCTTGGTGCGGGGTGTATTGAATGGTTTGCGCAGATTTAAATCATGAACAAGGACAAGTCTTGCCCCGGGGAATCTAAAATTACCGGCCAGTAACGAGAAGCCACGAAAACTACGACCGAACCAACTAAACTACGAAACACACGAACCATACATGATACGGTGGATGAGGGCTGGGACGGGGCTGACTGGCAGCTGTCAGGACCATCACGAGCAACGGGGTAGGCCGGGATGGATGAGCCTGGAGAACGCGGGAACCACAGCCACTCAGGGTCTGGACACTGCGTCGTCCTGTCTTCCTCCTGGCCACCATCTTGGACTTCGAGGGCTAGGACAGTTTAGGTCGGGGTCTGTCATGCTCGTACTGGTGGTTGAGGTCCCGTCGTGGGGGAGGGCTGGTCGGGCCGGACGCAGGAGTCGAGACTGTCGCCTGTCGTCAGGTCGGCCGAGAAGTGCCGCCGTCCCAGCTAGTGATGGCGGGCAGAAGCAGAGGCAGAAGGGGGTGCTAGACAGAACGGGAAGCGTGAGCTGCAAGTACAAGCTCGGCATTGTCTCAAGGCCAAACGCGTGGGCAGGCAGGGGTTTTGTCTCGAGGGCCAGTCAGCCAGCCTGCCTACTTTTCCTGTCCGTAGAGTGCAGCTTTCCCTCGTCCCCGCGTCGTGGCTAGTCGCCTGCTCAGTTGTTTGCTTGAGGTGCCTCGGAGGCCAGGGCTGTCCCTTTCTGGTGCGGGGTGCGGAGTCCGGCAGTGCCCGCCATGCAGCCACTTCCGCTGCGACCCACCAAGGCGCAGATGACGTCTCCAGGCTACCGCTTCAGCATCCTTGAGCGGGCCTTGAAGGAGTAGCGAATCATAGAATGGATTTATAAACCGTGCCGTGAGCGGCACAAAACCCGAAGCACTGCTGCCGAGCCTCATCTCCCCGTCACGCAGCACGTTACGCAGCATGTCGCCCAGCATGTCACGTAGGTTAAGACGGACACGAAGACGGTCCACGTGACCCAGACCGCCGTTAACTACTACCACAACAAGATCAAGGCGATGAAGCTGGAGATCCTCAAGGGCCAGGCGGTTCTCCGGCGACTCGAGGCACAGAGGAACAACTACAACTCGAGGGTACCGTAAAGATGCCGTAACGTACAGTGGCCAAAACCACTTGGAGCCCCCACATTGGCTCGTGATGCTTGTTGTCTCAAGCCTAGCCCCAAGCACATCCAGAGCGGCCTGGGCGCTGCCGATGCACGCCGTCGCTAGGTTGATTTCGTTTCGCGCAGCACCCCGTCCTCTGCCAGGGTGGGGCCGGCGCCCGCTTGGGCTGCTGCTGCCTGCCGAAGTGGCTCCAGCGCCGCGAAGTCGTGCCCGTCAAAATCGCCGTCTTGGATGCCAGAAAACCCAGCGTCGAGATATATATTTCCCTGGTCGAGCGGCGGGCCGACGGCAGGTGCGGATTGATCGGGCCCCTAGTCGGCATAGTCGTCGTCCGAGTCTCCGTCCGAGTCTCCGTCCGAGTCTTCGTCCAAGTCGACGTTCAAGTTGTGATCTTGCCCAGAAGCTCCTTGTCGAGGCTTTATGGACCTGTGTGTTGCTTCCGTGTGCTGTGCCTTATCATCTTCCGAGTCGTCCTTTTCGGCTCCAAGCCTTGCACTTGTAAACATGCCGGCAAATAACTAAGGATGTGCTTCGGTTAACATTTTAATAGCGTAATTTTTTTTTGCCAAAATTTTAGGGTCCTTTACTTTGGCAGCAACCACTCCGCAACATTTTTGATGCGCAGCTCGCTGGCATACTCGGCAAACTCTTTCCTTTACTGCGCCTTAGCCCGTTCGGCCGCCATATAACGTGCCTGTTTCCGCTGCTCCTCGATAAGGACCTCCCGAAGCTTCCAAAGCGTTTGCAGCCGCAATATTGTCTTAACGCCGCCTGTTAACCCCATCCTGCGCCTGGCCATTACGGTAGCGATCTCCTCGGGCGTTAGGCCTTGTTTTGTCATGCGTGTAATTTCGGCTTTGCGGCGGGCATGGGCGGGAGGGTTGTTGGCCTTAGCGCGGGTTGGTTTGCTTGCGGACAGCGTTTTAAAAGGAAGCGAAGGAGGTTAGCTTTGTTCCTGCCAGCAGGTCACGATGCCGCCCAATGCCAATGCCTACATAAACTCGGCCGTTTCCTTGCCCTGAAACGCTGGCCGCCCAGGGAGCGCGCCTCAAGGTCCACCCTCGCAACCGCTTCGGCGCCGCCGCACTCCGCTACCTCAAGCCGGAAGTGCAATAGCGGGCGTATGCATTTAATCCTAACTCCCCGGCGCTCGCAGCGTTTTAAATCCATTTCGATATACGCTTTACTTGTAATTAAACAAATTCTTTTCCTTCCCGAAAAAGCCATTTCCTATTCGAATTCCATTTTTTTCGTATTGCTTACCATGCCTGTCGCGTGGAATCGTTTGATCCGTTTCGTCGCTAGCAACGGCAGGACGCTAAAAAGCAAGCCCATCCTGCCCCACTCCAACTTCGACTTGGGCGATACCACCGAAGCTACGGGATTGCAAGCTTGGGTTATTACTGGCAATAACATATACGACGAAACTGGCAAAACCGTCGTTCCAGCAAAGTGGCAACAGTAAAAAAGCTGTTCGGACCGCTTGCCCAAGCAAATGTTCCCATTCTTCGCTGCGTCGGGCTTAACTATGCGAAGCACAGTGAAAAGTACGGATGGCATTCCTGGTAATGTCCCAGGATGCATCGCCGAAGCTAACAAGCAATGTTAAACTCGGTTCGGGAAGCGGGCCGAAACCCGCCGCCGTTCCCCTTCATCTTCTTCAAGCCCAACACCACCGTCCTGGACCACGGCGCCGATGTCATCATTCCCAAAATTGCGCAGGACCACCAGGCCGATTACGAGGGTAAGCTGTGTTTGGTTATGGGCCGCAACGCGAAGGACGTGTCGCCCGCCGAAGCACTGGACTACGTCGCCGCCTACACATGCGGAAATAACGTCTCGGCGCGGAAGCTCCAAAGGGACCCCAAGCTTGCCGGCGCCGTGCCCCAGTGGGGATTCTCCAAGGGCTTCGACACGTTCGCGCCGCTTGGGCCATGTCTTGTGCGAGCCGACCTGATCGGCGACCCGAAGGAGCTGCTCCTAAAGACGATTGTCGACGGGGAAACCAGGCAGCAGGAGCCGGTCCAGGATCTGCTGTTTGACTGCGCCTATCTTGTTTCCTACTTGTCCTCGGGCACGACGTTACAAGCAGGGTCCGTCATTATGACAGGCACGCTTGGAGGTAAGTGTGGCTGGAGCGGATGGACATGCTTCGATGGGACGAGCCCGCTTGTAACACGGAATTCCAGGAGTTGGTGGTTCCATGAAACTGCCTCGATACCTCGTCCCAGGAACAAGAATGGAAGTTAGCATTAACAAGATTGGCACATTGAGAAACGGTGTCAAGTTCGCGTGATGGAAGATCACGTCGCGAGATGGGCTTTGGTGGACATACAAATATAACATACCTTTTTTTTTGCTTCAAGAAGAATTGAACCCATGTTTTGCAAATTGCCCGAAAGCAGCAATATGACAGACATCAGCCAAGAGAGCTAGGGTACCGTTTACAGGTAGGGCTTTCCTTTTTTAGCAAGTCGGTGTGCTGTCCTTTGGGGTTACGTGATTTTACACTGGCTGGAATAGGAAGTATGGCTGCTAAAAGGAGCAAGGTATGCTCATGTATCCTTGCTGGAAATTACCTAATGGAGAACGCCGGTTCGCGAATGGATTCGGAGGACGGGTCGGGGAGTTAGGAACGGATATGGCCGAAAATGGTTAATCCCGGGCCGAGACCACCACGGAAACAGCTGGGCTACAAGTGATTTCGGGAGAATATCAAGGCGCAGTTTCCGCCAGACCCTGAAGTCGGGCGACACCGCTCACTCGTCAGTCGAATAACGTGCTAGCCATGGGGACGACAAGCCAAAACGGGAATGGCAATGGCTGCAAGCCGCACTTCACGTCGACCACGTATCCATCGCACTGCCTGCGCTTCCTCGACAAAGTCAATGGCGCGGCCACGACAGACAAAAGCCCGCCGCAGGCGCAGCTCAAGCTCGACATCGTGATCGTCGGCGCGGGCCTCGGCGGCCTCGCTACTGCCATCGCCCTGGCGCGGCGGGGCCATAAGGTCACAGTCCTGGAGCAGGCGCCCGCGTTCGGCGAGGTGGGCGCGGGGATCCAGATCCCGCCCAACTCGGGCAGGCTGCTGTACCGGTGGGGTGTGATGGAGGATCTCGGCCCCCTGGCGGTGCGGCCGGACGGCATCTCGTTCCGGCGGTGGGAGTCGGGTAAGGTGATTGGCTTCACCGACCTCTCGTCCGATTTCAGCTCCATGTACGGCACGCCGTACTATGTCGTCCACCGCGCGCACTTCCACGAGGCTCTGGCCAGTAGGGTCGCCGAGCTGGGTGTGCAGGTCCGGCTAAACTGCAAAGTTGTGCAGTACGACGAGCCGTCCGCGTCTGTAAACTTGCAGGACGGCACGACGCTGCGCGGGGATCTTGTCGTTGCCATCGACGGTAAGCACAAGGACAAACCACTTCTGCCGCAGCTCCCAGTACAGGCTTTTTTAACATCCCGCGCCAGGTGTCAAATCCACCGCAAGGGCTTTGCTCCCGGCCGGTGATAGCGCAATACCCAGGTCCACGGGCTTGTCCGCATACCGCACGACCGTCGATGTTGCCAAGATGAAAGAGGTTCCCGAGATGGCATGGATCCTTGAGGAGCCAGGCTTGAACATCTGGTAGGTTCCCGATGCAATGGCATCCGTTGCCGTCGTTTCATAACATCCTTCTGCAGGATCGGCGAGGACCGACACGTCATGACATACACCATCGCGGGGGGAAAGTCGTTTAATATGGTGCTATCGCATCCAGACAAACCAGGGCCGCCGTCCCCGCACCCACAAATTCAAGAGGAAACCCTGCGCGACATGCAGCGGGAGTACGAGGACTGGGATCCACAGTGAGTCCCTTGTCCTGACACCTAGCCCGAGGCAGTGCAATTGAGAGACTGACAGCGAGAACCAGGCTTGTCAAGGTCATCGGCCTTGCAGACCGCGCGCTCAGGTGGCCGCTCATGGTCAGCCCGCCGCTGCGCACCTGGGTCGGCCGGAACTCTCGCCTGGTTATACTGGGGGACGCTGCCCACGCTATGGTGCCGTACATGTCGCAGGGCGCCGCCATGGCAGTGGAGGACGGCGCGGCGCTGGCCGTAGCTATCAACGAGCTCAGGACGGCAAAGGACCTGGCTTTCGCGCTGCGCGTGTTCGAGAAGGAGCGGATCCGGCGCAGCAGCATGATGCAGGAGGCCAGCATGGTGAACGCCATGATCTGGCACTTTGAGGACGGGCCGCTCCAGGAGTCCAGGGACGCGGCCATGAGGGTGGAGGTGGAGAGGAAACCGTTTCTCAGCAGCCCCAACCAGTGGAGTGACCCGCAGACGCAGATGTGGGCGTACGGATACGATGCCGAAAAGGTTATGGAGGCACGCTGGGAGAAGGCCGTGAGAAAGCGGGACGGCGTGGCGTCTTTCTAATGGTTTACACTAATAAGGTATCTACCAAAACAAGTCTCTCGTGCCGTCATTGCTCAGAAAACTTAGCAGCTGGAAGTCGGCCGAGTCAATTCCGCCAGGGGTGAATTTCAGGCCAGCCAGTTGGGGATCCACGCTGGCGAATCCCTCTGCGGGCGGGTTCCCGACAGCGGCAGCGGCAGCGGCAGCACCAGCCGGCGACAGGGACGGCCCAGCCGCCGTGGCGGCGAGACCCTGGCGCAGGCAGCAGACAAGGCCGGACAGGAACTTGGTGCACTTTTCCACCAGCACCGGGTTGCCGCTGTCCAGGAGCGGCATGCATCCGATGGCTTGGTTGAGGACCTGGAGCTGGCGCTCCGCTTGGATGGACACCGGAGGGCAGGTCGGGTAGGTTTCGGGAGAATGACCAACTTGATCCGACAGAAGCACGGCGGCGACGGCGAGCGCGGCATTGAAGACGAAATAAAGCGAGAACCACCAAGCACCGAGCAGCCCGCTGGCAGAGCGCGTCGCAGTGTCGACGATGCCTATGATGGCCTCGGCCGACTGGAAACAAATTGTCTTGCTCCTGGCCCCAAACTGCCACAGCATATTAGTGTCATGGCGAGGGTCCGCCTTATTGGAGAGCGCAAGGACGCCGAGCAGCCGCTCGAGCATGGGTCTGTGGGCCAGGATACGCAGGTTGTGATAACGCAGCGTAAGGATGGCCCGTAGCTTCTTGGGCAGCTCCGGGCCGTCGCCTTGCAGCAGCTCCTCGACCTTGACAATCTTGAGTGGTGGTGTCAGCGAGGATTCCCACTCGAGCAGCTTCTGTTCAATTTGCACTGTCGACGAGGCTGCATTGGCCGTGCTGGCCGTGCTGGAAACCGCTGTCTCGCCCAGGTTGCACCCGTAAAGCGTGCCGATGACAGTTTGGGTTATTCGGTAGAGTGTTATTGTGGCGTTGAAAAAGAGTGTGCTGTTCTCCTCCGCGGACCACACGAAATGCTGCATGGGCCCATCATGTCGAGGAAGAGGGACGCGAACATATTTCTCGGGGATCGAGGGTGGACGACCGAGGGTCATGCTCAATGATCTGGAGTCACGTTAGCCTCATGCCACGCTCCGCTGTGCCTCCCTGTCCGAGCCAACTTACCGATCCAACATGACGCAGTGGTGCCAAGTTCGGAGTCTAATCTCCCTTTCCAACGGCTCGAACTTGTTCAATGCCTCCCCGGATTGGAGGCCAAGCTGGAAGGCAGCATTGACGGCGAGTCCGTGGATCGTCCATGTTTTGACAGAACGCTGAGAACCTTGAAGGAACTGCGTCATGAGAAGCATGACCTGGACTACGCGGGGATGGAAGGAGCCTGGTCAGTCCTCTGTGCGTTCAAACACGAAAAGCCGGCGAGCGGAAGCACTACGGCGTACTGATCTCGACGCTGGCGCCAGCTATCATCTGGTTTAAAGACAGTGATTTGGCACGAGTGAAAAAGGCTTCGGCTCGGGCAGCCCTGGTGGGCCCATCCACGTCGGCTTGGTTGCTGGTGGTGGCTGCCATGGCTAGCACCATGTACAGGAGGCTAAGCCAGGACTGCCTGACGCGGCGAAAATTGGACGCCCTAGCCGCCCTGTACGTCGCTCGGAAGGCGTCCTCGTGGATGAAGGGAAAGAGAAGGCCCGTGTCGGAAAAGTAGTGGCGGATCAACTGCACCATCTCGGCCTCTGGGGGTAGGTTGTGGGATTCGGATGCAGGCCGCTGGTTGGAAAACAACCACGCATCATTGGCCATCCGTAGCGCGGGTGACTGGGGTCTCGAAACGCTTAGAGGTGAAGCTGGAGTCGTTGGTTTGTCGCGCATAAACGAGCTTAGTGCTCGGCGGAGGGTGCGGGTGAAGGCTATGTTGGATGATGGACCTAGGACCGACGTTAGACACTTGGAGATACGGCACCAGCAGCCGACAATGCTCCTACCAAAATACGCCAAGTCCTGCTCGTCGGTGAACTCGATGGTGCCGACGCCGTCGGTCGCATCCAGCGAGAGAAAGGAGCCGGTCCCATCATCTCCAGCTGCCGAGCCCTGGACGTCAGACCACGACTCCGCATCGGGCCCACTGGCGTCAGTCTCGGGGGCCAGCGAGATGCCGGCAAACTGGCTGTTGAGTTTGTGGATGTCACGCTCCACTTTGGCAAGACGGGCCTCGACCCGATCAAGGTAGCTAGACGGACGGGAACTTGAGCATGCTTTCCAATCTCGTTGGCGCGCAACGCCGTGCACACTCACGACTTTGGGACCGTGGCGCTCGACACGAGGGCCGCGGCCTGGGCGTAGCTGCATTCGGTTCCTTGTGTGGTGCAGCTGGAGCATTTCGGCCTCAGGCCATCGCACTGCGGACGTGACCATCAGCACTGCACACTGCACGTGGACCGAAGAGCGCAGCACTTACTCTGGACTTGCGTGCCCTGCACAAGCCGCACGCCACGGGTACCCTCTGCCTCTTGCGCGGAAGCTGTCCTTCAAGGCAGGCCGCATCCGCCGAGCCGTGATCAAGCCCCGTCTGTTCCATGGTGCTTGTGGTGTGTGGCTAATGGGCGGAACTGCCGTCGGTGGGGAGACGACTGGAACCAGCGGTTTTAACTCCGCCGGCTGATCCGGGCGCGGCCCCAAACCCCACCGCTATCTCCCCGTGGCCAAGCACCATGCCGACGCCGTTGCCTAGTCCGGGGGCCCCCATGTCTATCAGTTGCCGAAGCTGGGCGTCAACGCTGCTCGACCCTTGCATATATGAAGACGGACCACCAAGCGATGGCCTTTCCAGCTGAGGTCTGCAGACATTCCCCACTTGGAAACGATCAAGATGACGTCCCCCGCAGTTGCCGAGTCAGCCACGGCCCAAGATGCAGTGGCACAGCTCCTGCGCGCGGCCGAGAGCAACCACACCAAGCCGCTCTGGTTGCAGATGAGCCGGCTCAACCCTCCGCTGCCCAACCCAAGGTGCACGCCATTCCTGTGGAAGTATGCCGACATTCGTCCCACGCTCATCGGAGCCGGCACCCTGGTGGGCGAGGCGCAGGCTGAGCGGAGGGTGCTGATGCTGGTGAACCCATCTCGAGGTAAGAGACAGACCTCCATGTCCACCATGTCAGGCACGCACGGGACGCAGGCCGCTTACGAGTCTCCAACCCAGATGCGCCCTTTACCACCGACACCATCTACGCGGGGCTCCAGCTGGTGATGCCAAACGAGACGGCCGCCGCGCACAGGCACACGGCCTTTGCCATGCGCTTCATCATCGAGGGCCAGGGCGGCTTCACTGCAGTGCACGGGCAGCGCATCAAGATGCAGCGCGGTGACGTCATCCTCACCCCGACCTGGAACTGGCACGACCACGGCAAGGACGGGTCCGGGCCCATGATCTGGCTTGACGGGCTCGACCTGCCCAACTTTGTGCACTTTCCCGTGCACTTTGTCGAGCACTACTCGGCCCCGCGCTACCCGGCCGAGGACGCCGACACGTCCCAGTCGCCGCTTGTGTTCCCATGGGTCCGCATGAAGGCGGCGCTGGACGCCAAGGGGGGCGATTATGTCACTCTGCCCTACCTCCACGCCGATGGCACCGAAGGTGCGTTCGTCCAGTCTCGCATTTGCTTGTTTCCAGTGGCTAATTTGGTGAGAATTTCAGTAAGCAAAATCCTCGGAGGTTCGGCCGCGATCCTGATGCCAGGAAAGAAGTCACTCAAGGTGCAGGAGACGGCGTCGTCTGTTTACCACGTCATCGAGGGCTCAGGGCACAGCCTCATTGGCAGCGAGAAATTTGCATGGCAGAAAGGTGACACCTTTTGCGTCCCAGCCTGGTACCCCTACGAGCATTTCGCCGATGAGGGACCGGAGCCGGTGTACTTGTACAGGTTTGACGACAAGCCCATGCTGAGGGCACTGGGATTTTACAGAAATGCGGAAATGGTTGTGGAAAGTCTTGTGTCCAAATAGTAAATAGCGCTCGACATTAAATTGAATGGCGGAATTGTTTCGGCAAAAAACCACCGCCCGACAACCATATTACATGCAGCCAATTCCAAACAGCTTTCCTAAATATAAGCAATCTTCATACATATGCTAAGAACGGGAAGCTAATTCCTCGACAACAACCTAGCTTAGTCCCTAGCCGGCTATGTAAACTACTACGACAGAGTGTCCCGTCCCACGCTCCTGTAATATCCAGTAGACCACCCTAGTCGAAGCGAGGCGGAGTCGCAAAAAAACAGCTTCTTCTCCAGCACGTCAGACAAACGGGAAACCCGGCCCCCCTTAGAAGCCCACAGCGGGATGACAAGGAGATAGACAGCGAACAGGATGCCCGACATGGCACCAAACTGTCTGACTGGACCAGCCATGGCCAGCCACTTCAGCGACGCGGACGAGACGCCGAACCCAACGCAGTTCTTGGCCACGTTAACAACGACGCCGATGTGGCCTGCCCGATTCGGCATACAATGGGCCGAGTAGGTGAGAAGGACGTTGGCCGACGCGGTAAGCCCAAAAGACAGCATGGCCCGGCCGACACAGACTTTGATCCACTTGTCCGGCCGCTGCCGGGCGAAACCCATGACGACGCAGCCGGCGGGGCTGACGAGGCCTCCAATGAGGACGGCGGGCAGGCGGGCCGAGGGGTCGTGCACGCCGTTGGCCTTCCTTGCCGACCGGTTGTTGAGCATGTCGGCAGGGGCGCCGCCGAGCGGCAGGCCGATGGCGAGATCGATGAGGGGCGCAACGTTGATAAGGCCAATGGAGCGCGGGCTCCACAGCAGCGGCGACTGGGCGTACAGGGCCGCCACGACTATCTAGCTGAGGACGGTCCAGTAGATGGTGACGCCAAACACCAGCGTGGTTGCAAGGACCTGGGTCGATTGTCTCGGACTTAACCTCCCTCGCCGCGATCACCTCGGTGCCGACCTCTCTAGACATGGCGGGTCTGCTGATGGACATTCAGGTGTGCGTCGTCTCGGGCAACATGAGGACGCACCCCACGAGGTTGAAAAACGAAGCGCCCGAGAGGATCCACAGGTGCGCCCTCCAGCTGTTCAAGCCCGACGCCGCGGCGCCCGAGATGATGGGCCCGAGGGACGAGCCGGCAGCCAGTGACCCGACATAAACCACCATGGCCCGTGCAAGCTGGTGCTCGGGAAATGCACCCTTGCCGTCCTGGTTTTAGCAGGGTCCCAGGGAGTTAGGAGCCCGGAGAGGAGGCAGAGATGGCGGAGATGGCGTCTCCTCGTCCGGGTCTGCCTCCCGCCACACGGCTCTCCCACACGGCTCCCCCGGCTCCGGACTTTCCACACAGACCGATTCGCCGAGCATCTGCTGTATTAAATCCCACCCTGCTGGGCGCCCAGGTGAGTGCTGGGCTACTTGGTTCCGGGCGGCTGGTCTCGCATCGCTAACACGGCCGACGCCATGATTGGATGCAAGACGAACCCTGGCGCGGCATATCAGGACCCCCGGTCGGGCTTCACTTGGCTGGCCAATCCCATGGAGGCCAGCTACAGCCCCTTCGCCCGTGCAGCGAAATGGGGGCCGGAATGCAACCATACTGTAGGCCAGGACGTGAGTGCTGAGTGGGCAAGGCTATGGGGGCCGCGGGCGCCGCGAGTGGGATACGTCCAGCTTGTGCTTGGTAGCTGGAGATTCGAACGCCCACGAGATGAACAGGGTGGTGGATCCGGCCCTCGCGGAAGATATGGCGGCCGAGCTGATGGAAATCTCGGCCTGGACCAGAGGCGGTGCGCCCCGGCCGGATGTGCTTCGGTGTGGCTCGCGCAGCCGCCTTACAAGACAGCTGGGTCTTGTCCGTAACCCCGGCACCCGGGTCCTCCACCTCGGACTACCAAGCCCAAACTACAGTTGAGAAGGAGCGATGGGTGGTCCAGTTCGATGGACATGGCTAGCGCCCTTGACCAACAATGTGCGACGTGAAAGTGGCGGACAAAGCACCCCGATGTGATTGGTCGCGCTGTCGCATTGCCAAATACTAACGTCATAATGCAACAATCCTTGCGGTAGTGCGACCGTTTTGGCGTCCATCCCATTATCAAGGCGTCATTGATGCTGTAGGCAGCGAGATATCAGACTACAGTGGTCGTTGTCGAGCCCTTGGGCCATAAATGGCTTTTGCTCGCCTGCCATTGGCATTACCCATCACGATCGAAGCTCTCAAGGACCTGGCGCACCAGCAGGAAGTAGCATGCTCCGCATCCTCGAACGCCAATCCGTCGCCCACAAGACTCTCCGAAGCCTCGCAACCATGGCTCAGCACAGTGGAGCGGGAGCCCAGGCCCAGGCCAAGCACCAGAAGCAGATGCAAGCCTTCCTGACGTCTGGCGCGACCGACGCCGTCTGGGTGCACAAGGATCCCTACAGTAAGCGTCCGCAGTTCGGCTCGCTCGACGCCGACACGCGAGCCGAGGTGTGCGTAGTGGGCTCCGGCATCACGGGCGCGTCCGTCGCGTACGAGCTAGTGGCGCGCGGCCATGAGGTCGTCATGCTCGAGGCTCGGGGCGTCCTCGGCGGCGAGACAGGCCGTACGAGCGGCCACCTGTCCAACGCGCTCGACGATGGCTATGTCGATGTCAGGAAGAAGCACGGGCAGGCCGGCGCCTCCGCTGCGGCCGAAAGCCACACCTGGGCCATTGCGCGCGTCGGCGAGGTGGCGGCCAAGCTGGGCATCGAGTGCGAGTACCGCAAGGTCCCGGGCTACGAGGTGTCGCAATATCGCCGCTCCGACGAGAAGAACCACACCAAGGACGTCGAGTCACTGCGCCGGGAGGCAGATTTGGCCAAAGAGCTCGGCATTGATGCCAAGTATAACGACGACCTGGCCGTCAAGGGCTGGAATGGCAGTGTGGATCAGCGTGGCGGCATCATCTTTGGCGGGCAGGGCGCGTTCCACCCTACCATCTACGTCGGTGGGCTCCTGGGATGGCTCAAGGAGCAGCCCAACTTCCGCTGCTTCACTGACACGCGGGTCATGAGCATCACCGAGGGCAGCAGCCAGAGCGCCACGGGCACCGACGAGGTCGTCAAGGTCGAGACGGCAAGCGGCCGCGTTGTCCAGTGCGCACACGCCGTGCAGGCGACTTGCATCCCGCTGCACAAGCTCGGCCTCGTTGTCGAGAACACCTTTTACAGGACGTACGCCATCGCGATGCGAGTTCCTCGCGGCTCGGTCGAGGACTGCTTCATCTACGATACGGCCGAGGCGTACAAGTACATCCGCCTCACGGCGTGTGACGACGCCGACGACTACATGATAGTCGGCGGTTGCGACCATGAAGTCGGCCAGGAGGATCCTGGAGGCCGGTTCGATGAGCTGGAGACGTGGACACGCGAGCGCTTCCTGTGTGCCGGAGCCGTTGACTACCGCTGGAGCGGCCACATCGTCGAGCCAGTCGACTACATGGCCTTTATCGGCAGGGACCAGGGCCGCCAGAGGACGTACGTGGGCATGACGGGGGACTCGGGCAATGGGCTCACGCACGGTGTCCTGGCCGGCCGTCTGATCGCCGATCTCGTCGAGGGCAAGGAGAACCCGTGGGAGTCGCTGTACTCGCCCAGCCGCGTGGCTTCGATTGTCAAGTCGGCCGGCGAGGCTATCAGGGACAATCTACACGACAACATGCAGTACAAGCGGCTGCTTCAGTCGGACATTACCGACATCGAGGACCTGGCCGCGGGCTCGGGCGGTGTTATGACGGAGGGCATGGGCACCAAGGTTGCCGTCTACAAGGGCGAAGACGGCTCAGTCAAGCGCATGAGTGCTCTTTGCCCGCACCTGGCTGGCGTGGTTTGCTGGAACCCGGCCGAGAAGTCGTGGGATTGTCCGGTCCATGGAAGCCGCTTCGATGCTTCGGGAACGTGCCTGAACGGCCCGGCCAAGGGTAACCTGAAGCTGATGGACTCGAAGGCTTGATCTGACTCGTACATTAAAGGATAAAGCGATATCCCCAATCGGACAAATAAATGCTACAATGTTTTTGGCAATGAGCCGTAACTTGTCTTTTTTTTTTTCCTGCGGATCTATGGGGAAGAAATTGGCGATGGTCCACTGCCAAGTGGGTCTTTCTAGGCTCCAGCGTCACGATTCAGCGCTAGCGTCGCCTTGAAATTCCGCCATGGAAACCGCACGGTTGAGCACGACCAACCTCGACTTTTCCGTCTACGTTCTTCCCTGTCGACCGTCCTTCACATCCTCACAACAGATCACCCAGCATGGCACAAAGCACGCAGCCAGCCGGAGCAGCCCTCCCCGCCGGCCTCATGGCCGACGTCACGGCCTACGTCGAGGAGTACATGTCGCACTACGACGGGTCCCACGACTTTAACCACATCAAGCGCGTTGTGGCCCTCTCGCGCAGCATCCTGGCTGAGGAGCGCGAGCTGGCAGCCTCGCGCGGCGTCGTTTACGACGAAACCCTTATCGAGCTTGGGGCTCTGCTCCACGATGTCGGCGACAAGAAGTACATCCAACCCGGCCAGGACCACACGACACTAGTGCGCGACGTGCTTCTCCAAAAGGGCGCCGACCCGACCCTCGCCGCTCGCGTCCAGGACCTGGTCCTCCATGTGTCCTTCTCCAGCGAGAAAAAGGACCCGGCAAAAGTGGTGGCCAAGGTGGCGGAGCTGCCCGAACTGGCAGTGGTGCAGGACGCCGACCGCCTCGACGCCATCGGGGCGGTCGGCGTCGGCCGCTGCTTCGCATTTACCGGCGTTAGGGGCGGCACCCTGGACAATGCCATCGAGCACTTTGTCGAAAAGCTGGAACTGCTCGGGGGCATGATGAAGACGGAGGCGGGGAGGCGGATGGCGCGGAGACGGACGGAGCGTCTGGTCGAGTTCAGGGGTTGGTGGGCGGAGGAGACCCTGGCCTAAGAGTCACCGGCGAGGCCTGCAGACGGGGGCGTGGCATTGCGGGGTCGGTTCTGGGCAAACAGCATCCCATTTCGGCGCTACGAGATGGGGTCCGAGGTCTCCACCGCTTTTGACGAAATAAAGAAGGATGCAAGTCTGACAACCCGTTTCCGTGTCCGTCTCTTTTTCTGGTGGGAGTTCCCGGCCGGCCGCAACAACGGCTGCTGTACCACAGCCATAACCCCAAAACAACACCGGCGACGTCCGATCACTATGGCGGCAGACAAAAAAGAAACGACCGGCGGCGTCACGGTCCCGCCGGACGGCCTGACGAGCCAGGACACCACCACGACCACGACCACGACCACGACTACGCTGCCCACCATGCGCGTCATCGGCATCCTCATCTCGCTCATGCTCGCCGTCTTCCTCTTCGCCCTCGACCTAACCATCCTGGCCAACGCCGTGCCGGCCATCACATCCACCTTCCACAGCCTGGCCCACGTTCCGTGGTACGGCAGCGCTTTCTTCCTCACATCAGCGCCGGCCCAGTGCGCCTACGGCAAGGTCTACTCGCACTTTGACCACAAGCGCTCGTTCCTGGTCGCCGTCGCCGTCTTCGAGGCCGGCAACCTCGTCTCGGGCCTGGCCGTCAACAGCCCCATGCTGATCGCGGGCCGCGCCCTTAGCGGCGTGGGCGGCGCCGGCATCATCACGGGCGCCTTCACCATTATCGCCAGCATCGCCCCGCCCAACAAGACGCCGCTGTACATGGGCATCCTCGGCGGCACCTTTGCCATCGCCAGCGTCGTCGGCCCGCTACTGGGCGGCGTTTTTACGTCCCGCGTCTCTTGGCGCTGGTGCTTTCTTATTAACCTACCTATCGGCGCCATCGCCGTCGCCCTCTTCGTGTTTCTCTTCCGCACTCGCTACTCGGCGTCCGCCATCCAAACGCCCCTCAACACCCTACCGCTACGCGAAAAACTCCTCCGCCTCGACCCGGCTGGCATCATGCTCGTCGTGTTGGGCCTGGGCTGCTTCACGCTCGCCATGCAGCTGGGTAGCGAGGCGGGTGATTGGCACCAGCCGGGCGTCATCGGCAGCTTCGCCGCGTCCGCCGCCGTCCTCCTCTCCTTCACGGCGCTCGAGTGGCGGCTCGGCGACCGCGCCATGGTGCAGTACCGCCTACTGCGCCACGGCCTAATCGCCGGCAACGCCACCGTCATATTCTTCATCGCCACCGCCTACTTTCCACTCACGTACTCGATGCCCATCTACATGCAGGCCGTGCTGGGCGCGTCAGCGTTCGACAGCGGCATCTGGACCATCCCCTTCATCCTGGGCATGTCCATCGTCGTCATCGGCGTCAACATGACCATCCCGCGCTTGCCGTGGGTGCTGTGGCTGGTCGCCGGCCCCGTCGTCATCACCGCCGGCGCCGCGTGCCTGTACACCATGGACCTCGAGACGCCGCTCGCCCGCCTGCTGGGCTTCCAGCTGCTGACGGGCGCGGGCATCGGCATGGTCCTGCAGGTGCCCATGGTGGCCAACCAGGCGCTGCTGGCGGGCACCGACGACGTGCCCGCCGTCATCGGCATGACCCTCTTCTCCGAGACGGTCGGCACCGTGCTCTTCATGCCCGCGGTGCAGGCGTCTCTCGTCGACGCCCTCGTCGCCCGCGTTGCCGCGTCGCCCGCGCTGGCGGCTGCTGGTGTCACGCCGCGCCGCGTGCTCGAGGTTGGCGCCGAGAGCATCCGGGAAAAGATTCCGGAGAGCCTGGTGCCCGAGGTGCTGGCTTGCTACATGGCTGGTGTCCGCGTCGCGTTCCTGATTGAGCTGGTGTGCGCCGCTACGTGTTTGTTTGCCGCCGTGATGGTTCTCGGCATGTACCTGACGCAGAGACACCGCAAACAAAATGCATGAGTTTGTTCGCAGGACGGGGGAGGGATCTTAATTCTGTATTCAACAAGGTAAGGAATGACAGTCAACCAGGTCATTCGGGCTTGTATAAAAGAACTACAGCAATAGAATTTATCTATTAAAGTGAACTGCGACTTGTCCTCGCACCGTCCACGCCTCAAATATTTTGCGTTTGTACCCACGATGTACGCTATACTCGCAAGAATTTTCAAAGTCAACGACGCTAACGAAGGAATAGAAACAGGAATAAAAACAAGAAAGGTTACGGCACCAACGCTGGCACGAAACAGTCATAAAAGAGCAGTCACCAATAAACATAAGACACGCCAGCTCGACAATCAGCGCCCTCAGCATTACTAATGTCAGCCCTTGAGCACAAACATCCCCCCGTTCCACCCATACGCCCGCTCCAGCCTCCGCCCGTAGAGGCGCGCCTGCCTGAAGCGAATCTTTGGGTTCGGGTGCGGCTCATGAAGCTGGATGGCCCGCTCCGCCTCCAACTGCGTCGGCCGGAACTGCCACACGGACCCGCCCAGCTTTTGGGCCTGGAACCCGACCGAGACCATGGCGTGCAGGAAGTCGGTCCATAGAACCTCGCCCGGGGTCGAGGACGCGTCGGGCGTGAAGAAGAGCGTGCGAAACACCTTGAGCGCCCGCGCGTTGACCGCAAAGGTGGGCTGCGGTTCAGCTTGTTCCTGCGTTTGTTCCTCCCGCTGATCTGCCCCCGCGGAGGACATGTTCGCGGTCCCCTTGGTCTTCGTCTTGGTCTTGGGGGTAGCAGAAACGGACGTGTCCTGTTTGCTCGAAAGGCCAAAGTACAGCGTGGACAGCGGCTTGTACAGCTCCTCCAAGTCGTCGGCGGCAACACCGCCGTCTTTATTCTTCTTGCGACCAGCTGCAGCCGCCGGCTCCACCCACGCGGGAGTGCGTTGGAGTGTGCGCGACTGCGAGAGCAACAACGCCTTGAGAGCCGTCCCCTCGAGGTTGCCAGCCCTTTTATGCATGGCACGGTCCATGGCCTCCCAAAAGGCGTCCAGACGCTCCTCGGCCCGGCGCATCGCCTCGACGTTGCCCTTGGTGCGCCGCTTGTCGACGGGGTAGGTAAACTTGCCCGGCTCGATCCTGCCGAGCGCCACAACCCCTTTCCGGATGAGCTGCTCCTGATCGATCGAGTTGATGATGGCAGCCCACGACGCGGTGTGCTCTGCAAACTCCTTTTGGATGGCTTTCTCGCGGTCCACCATGGCGTTCTCAAAAGTGCTGGCCCAGGGCTGGTACATTTCGAGCTGGCGAAGGCACTGCGATACGATGGACAGGTCGTGTATGACACGGCGGACGTGGTTGGAAACGAGCCGGTCAGCTTCAGACTGGGCTTGCATCAGCCGCTCGAGTTCGTCCACGGCCGACGTTAGCCGGCACAAGGAGAGCTGTGTACCGCCTTCCCAGATGGTAGTCAGGAGCCACATCAGCTGCCCTTCCACGGCGGTGCGTCTAACACCTGGTTTCGATATGATTTTGACATTGGTAAGGTTTTCGGCGGGCAGGCGTGCGAATAAGCGCCGGAGTGGCGGCGAGGCCACCACCTTGACCTTGAGCTGCCCCATAGGGCCTTTGGCCACCTGGTTGAGGTAGTGTTGGAAGGTGAGCAGCGCGTCGAGGAAGTCCTTGGGCAGGGGCTCCCTCGGGGAAATCCTAGCGGCGTGCTCGGCATGAAGCACCTTGAGCGCGCGCGCCTGCCGCAGGAGCTCCGTGTACGTCTCCAGCACAAGATGGCTTTCAAGCACGGCGTTTCCAATAACGCGGCCCCAGAAGATGTCGTCCTGGCCCGGCCGCACGACAGGATGCGAGGCGCCGCCCGTGTCTCTGACCATCTCCTGCCTGTGCTCCAGAATCTCGGTGACATACTCGGCAAAGTAGCCCGGGTCCTCGCGAAGTGCCCATATATCGTCCTCGGCGGCCGAGACGCGAGCGGCCAGCAGGGCGCACATGCGGTCCATGTCGAGATTGGCAGGCACGCGGTAAGGGCCCTCGGCGGCCATGACGGCCAGATTGTCAAAGCCATTAAGCTCCAACTCCGTTTGGATGCTCGGCTCTGGCTCGATCGGTCCTGTGGTGAGTGATGCTGTGGGAACATCGTGCAGCATGGTCTTGCAGAAGGCGACTAGGAAGCTGAGGAGGCGTTCCTGAGCTTCCAGGATGAGCAGACCTTCGCCGGGTAGGAATTGCGTGTGCGTGTTCATCCAGTCAAAGGCGTCTTCGTGATCGTCCCAGCTCAAGAGCTGCCCATACTTGAAGCCCGAGTCGTCGGTGGCGACACCGTTGAGGACCATGACGTACTCGTTGAGGAAAATCGGCGTCAAATTCATGGTCACCATTCCAATGTGCATTGCGTCGCCGTCTGCCGCGGCAAAGTTGGATGGGTGATGCCGACCCCGCGAGTTGAGGAGGAGCGACAGGTTCCTGGGCTTGCACAAGTCCTCCTGGTTGACCTGGGGCCACATGTAGGGCCCTGGATCAGACAACCTCTTCCGAAAAGCATCAAAGTCTGGCCGGTGGGTGGCCGGCATGCCGGGCCACAAGTCCAGTAGCACCTTGAGGCGTGTATTTTCCGTGCGCTTGGCCCAGCGCTTTTGGATGCTGGCCTCGTGGCGGTCGAGTATGGCGCCGAGAGTTGTGTAGTGGGCCAGGGTCCTTTGCGCCAGACTTTCGGCCTCGCGCTGAACCTGGGCAGGGGGCTTGGCGGGAACGTCCATGCCTGTCAGCTGCCTCATGGTATTGGGGTCACTCCAGTCGACTTCATTTTCGTCCGAATCCGGGCCCATAGCTGCCAATGTGGAACTGGTGATTTCTCCAAGACTTTATAAACACGTTGCTGCTATGCCCCGACGTTGTTGCTTGTGCTGATGTGCCCGATGGAGATGGATTCAGACCCAAAAGGCACCCCGCCATTTTGTAGGCTCCTTCCCCGCACACGTGCCTCGCAGTCAAGCTTCTATCGTGCTGAGTCAACCTGATGTGAGCATGTTCATAGGTGCGTGGCAGAAGCTCTTGGGAAGGAGCAGTAAACCGGAGATTATTACGTTCAAAGGGTATCAAGCAGTAGCCCCCGCCTCGACACACAGCCCCAAGCCCTGCAGCAGGTCAGCGGCAGTGACATCGATCGCCGCCGGCCTCTTGTCCTCGATGCCAAACCCGACAAACAACACATCATCCAGGTACCCGTGGTACCTCTGCTTGGCCCCGCGCCAGCCGATGCTGGTGATATAAAACATTTCGCTCCGCACGTGCCCGCCCTCCTCCATCTCCTCGGCCGGCAGCGCGGCCGGCGACATCATGCGGCGCCTGCCCTTGATCCACAGCGGCTTTGCCGAGATGCCGTGCAGCGCGAACGGCGGCGCCTGCCGGAACAGCACCACGTACGGCTCGTACGAGTAGCGCAGGCCGCCGGCGTGGCTGCGCTTGCGGTGCACGATGCTCATGACGAACGTGTTGGCCTCGGACGCAGCGCACGACTGGTCCGCGCGCCTGCAGAGCGTGATGGTGAGCGAGTTGGTCGCCTGGTGGACCTCGTCGTCCTCGACGATGGACTCCGAGTCCCCCGTCGGCAGAGACGCGCCGCGCCGCGACCTGAGGTCCGGGAAGAAGCGCTTGAAGCAGGCGGCGTCGGCGTCGGCCGTCGCGGGCCCAAGGTCGGGCCCCGCGGTGCCGTCGCGGGCGAGGGCGGCAAAGACGCGCCGCGGGTGCATGTCGTGGTGCACGTAGCGCTCGCCGTGGCGGTCCCAGAAGACGAACCAGTTCTTCTCTACGATCTCGTACTGATTTTGAGTAGCGGGGGATGACAGGGACGGTGGGGGGGCCTTGGGTCGGTGCATCTCGGTCGCGAGCGCGAACTGGTGCTTCTCGGCCGCGGCCACGATCCCAGGGGCCGAGAGCGCCTTGGCGGACCTGGCGGCATCGCCCACGGCACCGCGGGTGCCGCCGCCGACGGCAAACGACGGGTGGTCGCCGGCCTCGAGCGCGGCGTTGAGGGCATCCGCATCCACAGGCGCGTCGTCCCAGCGGGCGGGCACGCGCAGGTCCTGGATCCACTGGCCGAAGCAGGTGAGGCCCGAGTTGGACCCGAAGACCACGAGCGGGGCGCCGTCGGGCCCGTAAAAGACACGCGCGTCGTGTGGGCCACGGTTCATGCTCAGCGGGCCGTACTTCACCGACGCCTCGCACGCGCCCTCGGTCGTGGCCGTGTGCGCGATGGCCAGGTCGACGGGGAAGGTGACGCATGCCAGCACGCCGCCACGCTGGAAGGCCGCATTGCACGTGATCTCGGCAAAGGGCGAGCCGACGCCGTCTCGCTGCGGGTGCTCCTGCGCCACGATGATGTACGTGTCGGCCAGCAGCGGGTGCGCCATCACGTTGGGGTTGATGGCGGTGCGGTCGCCGAACTGAATCGGGAAGTAGCTGCCACCACGGCCGGACTGGCTAGTCACGGCCGCCCCTGTCTTGCCCTGGGCATCCAACGCGACAGTGCCGGCAGAGGATAGGACGATATGGGTGTGCGGCGCCGAGTCGGACGCGTCCTGAAACGGGTCATCGAAGGGCGCGAAGCCCTCGACGCCCGACTGGACGGGAGCAGTCTCGCCGAGCTTAAACTGCGCGGCCGGAGAGCCCGGTGGAGGCTTGGGTGGCGGGAGCGCTTTCTCCTTGGGAACGGCGGCAGCCAAGGCATCCTTGGCCGCTGGTATCCCTATGCCGCTACCACTGCCGCTGCCGGCATTATCTTTGAGAATGGCAACGGCGTCGCCGCCAAGTGGGCGCTGCTGTTGGTCACGCTGCCGACTCCATCGCGGCGGCAACGCTGCACCGCGGGCGCGAGGCGAGTAGTTGGCCCAGGTCGGGCGGGGCTGGGTGTGCTTCTTGATCAGGCGGACGGTGAGGAAGACGGCGGTGATGAGGGGAACGAAAAGCACAAGGAAGCGCTTGACCTCCCGGATCAGCATGGTGGTCGGCGGACGTGGCGGGACCCGGGCATCTCTCTGTCGATGGCGCTGCGGGGAAGAACAGGGGATACTACCAAGGTAGGATGGTGGGGGAAAAGCGCAAGAGTTGGAGATGGCAGAAACAGAGACAGCCAGCCGCATGCGGTTTCGGGGTGCCGATATTCTGGTTTGGCCTGAATGGCGACCTGGTTCCTCCGTCGAAAAAGACTAGAAAATTGCGCCTCCACGAACCCCGCAGATTCACACCACACCCCTGGCTCTGCTGGAGATAACAAAAAGGCACGGCACCACTGTATAAATGGCGCGTGCCCCTTGCAGCCAGGGGGCTGGCTAGGGTTCGCCAAGGGGTGGTCCCGAGCTAGCTTCCTTGCCTTGGATAGGCCCCATTGGGTTTACCAAACGCAGGCCCAGAACCAATAAAAATGCAAAATGGATTCATGATCGCTCGGCTGTGGCCCAATCAGGACATTCGCTCGCACCGAAAACAAGGAGGCTACCGCACCTGCTCATTTTGGAGCAGTGGTCAAGGCCAATCAAGCTTTGCAAGGTGCCGGCCTGGAATGCGAAAACAAAAAGCAAAAGGAGAGAAAAAAGGGGCGATGGGTCGAGCGTGTTTGTGCGTCCTAGACAAGGCAACAAAAAAATGCATCTCACCACCTTCAGACTTCGACCCCGAAAATCTAGACAGAAACATCCAGCGCGCCATATTTTCCCGCACCATGACGCCCAAACAGGGTACCGGGAGGGATGCCGAGGGGGAATGCACGCTAGCAGACGTGAGGATCGACCAGGGGCGGGGCGCCACCCTGCTTGCCAGCGTAAAGCGTACAGGGCCCCATGCGAACGCGGGGTTCGGACAGCAGACGCGGGGGTTGTTGTGTTTTGCGATCCTCGACCGCGTGCTTCCTCGGTGGCCTAGCCTCGGCGACGAAATTGGCTAGAGGAAGACGGTGGCTAGAATGTGCGTTCGGCCCGGGCTTCACATGTGTTTCGAGCTCACGTGGCGCGGCTGGGGCTAGTCGGGGCTGGAACTTTGGCACAAGCATAGCGGCGGCCAAGAGCCAAGACTTGTACAGCAGGCAACCGAGGGGGTGCGAGAGAATCTGGGTACGATTAGGTGCGCTATGTAAAATGGCAATGAATGGAAAGGTACATGCAAGTACGTCATCATCACACTCCTCAAGCAACCCCCGTCGCCTTCACCGGCTTTGGGGGCAGCGTCTTGGCATACAACCACTGCGCGAACCGGACGCTGGGCTCGTCGACGAAGCGCGTGATCATGTCAGCCGCCCACAGCGTCAGCGGCAGGATGATCAGGTGTGGTAGCAAGAACGAAACCTCCAACCCCAAGGGGCCGAGCTTGGGCAGCGGGAAGCGGTCGACCCAGCCGGGTATATTCTGGCGCTGGTCGTCCGAGTGCCAGCCCACGGCAGCGTAGATTCGGTCGCCCACGAGCCACAAAACAGGGCCGTGTGCCAGGTACAGGCCATACGACACGCGGCCCAGATATTGGCAGAAGCGCGTCTCGAAAAAGCGCTTGAGCGGTGGTAGGCGCGGCACCAGGGCCACCACCAGCGTCGACGCGAACAGCAGGTAGTACCACTTGTAGTCGAATACAGCCTGAGGTTTGAGCAACGACAGGTAGTACCAGCCGCGGTTCTCGGCGAGCGTCTCGACCTTGGCGTCGTGCGCGGGGGTGCCACCCAAATACAGAGCCGCAACCAGTAGGTGCCACATGACGAGCTTCTTGATAGGGCCCACGCCGCTGAAGCGGGCCAGGACGGCTGGCAACTCGCCGCGTGCCGACAGCAGGTCCAGGTCGCACTGCAGCATACCCGAGATGAACATGGCGCAGTACCAGCCGTCGGCGATGTAGATAAAGTAGAAGATTAGGGCGGCCTGGCACAGCAGGCGGGCGTCGCGTGCGCACCGCGACAGGGCCAGGACAGTCGTGTAAACCAGGACCGACCCGCGGAACTCGACAGGAATGGACCAGAGATGCGGGTTGTAGCGGAAATAAGGGTCGCCGCCCATGTTGAAAACAAAGGTGAAGTTCTTGCCCTCGGTGTACCACCGCCACAGCTCGGAAAGGTAGCTCTTCTCGTGTTCCATGCCAAAAACCCACGAGCCCGACAGATACCAAAAGGTCATGAAGGAGAAGGTGGTGACAATGAGTGGCATGAACAGGCGCAGCCAGCGGCGGAACAGGGCCGAGGCTAGGTTCTCGGATAGCCGGGCATGATCGGCGGCCTGGATGAGAGCCAGCGGCTTGGCCGTCAACACGTAACCCGAGATGACAAAAAACGTCGATACGGCCAGGTGGCCGCCGGTGAAGGCCAGGCGCACAAAGGGAAGCGTGGCGAGGTAGAAGTTGCCGTCTGTGCCGAAGGAACGCTCGAAAGCTTTGAGCTGGCCCTCCTCGTGGGCCCAGGCTGTGTGGTGCTGCCAATAAACCAGGAAGGCGGCGAACCCGCGGACGCCGTCGAGGTATGCCGTCCGCTTGAGTTCGCCGGGCGCGGATCCGCTGGGTGAGCTGCTCCGGCCTCGACGCAGAATCAGGGACCCGAGGCGGCCGATGAGAGCCCGACCCTGCTGTAGGGGGTGGGGAGAGGTGGGGGACATGCCGTCAGCGTCGCCATGCCACTCCTCTTGCTTGACGGCGTCCCAGTCGCTGTTGGAGTGCCCGTTGCTGTTGCCGTCCAAAATGCCCTGATTTGGAGGCATCCTATTGCTTTGTGTATGTGCGCTATCTCGCTGGGCTGCAGGTCGACGTCCCCCGGTGAGAGGCGGCAGAATGAGCGCCAGGCGTCGGGCTTTTCTGAGTGAACCAAGCAGCCTGTGGCGAACACGATAGTTGAAGCCGTTGAGCAGTTCAAGGACGGCCTCAGACGAAACGCAAGCCTTGAAAGATAAGATTGAGGGGCGGCGACTAGTCAGCCAGCCGTGAGGCAAAAGGGCGCTGGAAACGGCGTCGTGCTTCTGGTTGGCTGTTGATGCTGTAGCTGATGATGGGTGGCCCTTACGAGCCGAGGAAAGGACGCGAACAGTCTGACGGCGACAGTGGGGGCAGCAGAGACGCGCACTGGCGATTGCGTCGCCCGGCTGATGTCTGGGTTTTGGCTTGTGAGACCGGGCCGCGGTCGGTCGGTCTCGATGTGACGGAGATGCGGCACGGGCTGCAGCTAGACGTCAGAGGAGACGAGATGGGTACTTGTCAGGGAGTCGTCTGGGAGAACAGACCAGTGGCTTGTGACAAGACGCTGGTGGCGGACGCGCTCGGAGGACGCCGTGGGAGGGTGTGTGCGCGTGCGGTGTTTTACAGGCGGCACGGCATCCTTCGGGCTCGGGAGTCGACTGGTGGTCTGTCGGACGAATAACATAAATGGTGACCTTGGGAGTGGGCGAGGAGGACAGGGGCGAGGCCTAGGGTGATGGCGACAGTCATAGCCGCCGCCAGCACGACACTGCTCCATCAACAAAAATCGCGGTTCGGCACTGCATAATGTGCATAATACCCACCACGTATTCGTTCCTCCAGAGACCAACGGCCGGCCATGGATCCTGGACGCTGCATGCTGAGTGGGTGGTTTCAATGGCTTGGAAAAAAAAAAGGCAGGTGGGACAGCATCGATCGACCACTCGTTGCTCATGTTGGTTCAATTTTTCAGGTTTTGCAGTGGGCCAATTGTTTGCCAGGATGCGGGGTCGGAACACTGTCCCAAATTGGTTCGAGCGGGTGGGGCCAATGGAGAGTGGTGACAGCGCCAGGCCACGAAATTTGTGAATGGCATTTTGGCTCGACGGACAGACCTCGTCGACCCTCAGTGTCATCTCGCCGCCCTCCTTGACCACCTCCCCAGCCAGGCATCTCCTCGCGAGCATGCGCCAGACACACCATGACAGGCGACAGGCGCCGGGCCTGCTGCCACTGGTGCCATGTCCCGAAAGTCTAAACTAAACTCCACAGCAGGGCGCCCGACGTCGGACCGCCTAACCAGCCCTGCCTCTCAGTGGTGCCGGCTACCCACCGCGGAAACGAGCTGCGACGCTGTAATCAGACGGCTGCTCCGTCCACCTGGCCGTCCGACCTCGTCGTCGACATTGGCTGACTGGACAGCCGCAAAAAGCATCAAATACAAATCACAATGCCAAGTCCGACGTCATCCGTCGACGACTCTTCAGCCTATCCTCAAACCGGCACTTGTCCCAGACAAGAGCCACGCAACGAACCCAGCAGCAAGCAGCAGCCCTTCCTTCGGGCCAACCTTTACCTGCCTTGTTGGGGTAGCGTATCGGCTGCTGGGCTCCGCTGTGGCGAGTCTGGCCTGTCCGGCGTGTCGGCTCTGTGCTGCGTCGTGCCCCTGGCGCCGACCGACTAGAGATACCTGGGATTGCCCTCACGTTGGTTGCTGCTTGTGGCAATCTTTATGCTTTCCTCGTTGCGCTTTCCGAATGCTGCCCTGCCCAGCGGCTCTCTCCGCCGTCCTGCTAATTTGGCCTCCGTCCACTCGCGCCTCGCCCTCCCACACCACTTGCCAGCCAGATGCAATAAGTACCGGCCGTTGTTCTCCGCCCCGTGCCTGTCCACTTGCCATTCCCGGAAATCTATTGGCCTGCCCTTCTCCATCGCTGCGCGACTACCCCTGGCCGTAATACCACCCAACCCACCCCCCAGATCATCACCCATCCCCGCCCTTCCTCCTCCAATACGCGCACTGATTAGAGTTGACCTGAATATCGCGTGCGTATCCGGCCACTTGCCCTCGGCCTAATTTTTCCTCTTTTGCTCACTGTCACGCCCAACCCGTGCATGTGTCGAGGCCCTTCCCCCTGTCTCCTGTGATGTGACCTCGGAGCTTGGGTCCTCTTCAACTCTTTGGTCCCTCCCGAGAACCTTCTTTTTGTTCAACCACTACTCTGCTCTTTTCTCTTCTGCAGCGTCTGTGCTCGGCGCCCAACCCGACGTTTTCCCACTCCCACCCTCCTTCTTCTCACCCGCCATCCGCATTCTCGGCGCCTCCGTCCGTCTGCCTCTGCAGTTGGAATCACATAATCCAGCCACGCCCGTCACCACTCCATTAGGTCACACCGTTTTTTGTCTGGCCGCCGCCAAGACCACACTACAGAGACCTGCGTGAGGGAAGAGAGAAAGGCCAGAAGGGAGCCGGAAGGGAGAGGAAGGAAGAGACAGGGAACCCGCTCAAGGAAGGGAACCTGAGCCACAGACTGTTACTAGCGGCGACACACGATGGGCTCCCCTCCGCTGCTGGGCTCGCCGCTCTCGCCGCTGTCGCCCAGGCTGTCCATCCCGAGTTCGAAAATCAGTCTCAGGAACCGCCTACCGACGCAAATACGGAGATGCCTACCTCTATACCTGACGTGCCTGTGCGTGGTGCTGCTGATTCTCAACGCTGACCTCGTCGGCATCAGCATGCCCAGGCATCACCGGCTCAACATCCGGCGCGAGGCGTACAAGGACTACCTGAACAGCAAGTCGGGGCGCCACTCGGCGACGGCGCCAAAGACGCCGGCCAGGTTTCCACGCAAGGTGTGGCAGACGTGGAAGGTCGACCCGCTGTCCTTCGCCGAGCGCGACTCGCTGACGGCACGCACCTGGACGGCGCGCAACCCCGACTACCGCTACGAGGTGCTGACCGACGACAACGACATGGCCTACGTCGAGTACCACTTTGGCCCCGACGGCTTCGACCGGCCCGACATTGTCGACTTTTACCGCAATGTCAACGCCACCATCATCAAGGCCGACCTGTTGCGCTACATCATCATGTACGCCGAGGGCGGCGTCTACGCCGACATCGACGTCGAGGCGCTCAAGCCCGCCCACCGCTTCGTGCCGGAGCGCTACGCCGAGGAGGACGTCGACCTGGTCATCGGCGTCGAGATCGACCAGCCCCAGTACAAGGACCACTCGATCCTGGGCTCCAAGTGCATGTCGTTTTGCCAGTGGACCTTCATGGCCAAGCCGCGCCTGCCCGTCATGCTGCACCTGATCGAGAACATCATGGGCTGGCTGGACGGCGTGGCCGTCGAGCAGGGCGTCGCCATCCCCGAGGTGCAGCTCGACTTCGACAAGGTCATCTCGGGCACGGGGCCGTCGGCCTTTACGCAGGCCGTGCTCGAGGACATGAACATGCGCCGCAAGCTAGATGAGAGCAACGGCGTGTCGTCCGGCGGGAAGCGCGGCCCGTACACGTGGGAAGACTTCCACGACCTGGACGAGTCCAAGGTCGTCAGCCGCATACTCGTGCTCGACGTCGAGGCCTTTGCGGCGGGCCAGGGCCACTCAGATTCGGGCAACCACAACGCGCGCGGTGCCCTCGTCAAGCACCACTACCACGCCTCCAACTGGCCCAGCCGCCACCCGCGCTTCAGCCACCCGGCCTACGGCGAGGTTGAGCGCTGCAACTGGGACCCCATGTGTGTGGCCAAGTGGGACCAGGACGTGGCCGAGTTCAAGAAGCTGCCGGCCGAGCAGCAGCAGCAGCTCATCGCCGCGAGGCAGCTTTAGTTTGGGATTTCTTTACTGGGGGCGTTTTGATCTAGTGTGGATAGTCACGGCGTTACTTTTGTTGTCATCTATACACCTCTTCTTTGTAATCTACATAACCTGGCCAGGCTGTGCATGGTCTCCATGATATCCACACACATGTCGCCCAATTGATACCATGTCTCCCAACGATGCAGATCTACTTGTTGTCTGTCAATCTATTTAATCAACTATCGCTTCATGATGCTCGTGGCCGCCAATCCACCATCGAGGGGCCATTGGCGGCCACTGCATATGTCTCTCACCAGCAAATCAGACCGCCTCGGTCTTGGTAAAAGGTGTCTTCTCGGTCTGGTTGTCGGCCGGCGACTGGTATCCAAAATCCGGCGTCCCGCTCCGATTCTCGACTGGTGACTGGTACACCATTCCCGACGAGAATCGCCCCAGCTGGCTGTACTGGCTCATCCTCTTGCGCTCCTTGTGCGCCGACCGGTCCGTCAGCTTGAGCACGCCAGCCTCGGCCTCCATCGTCACCATGAGGGCTCCGGCATCGCTGTCGTCGGCGCGTCCGCTCCAGCCTTGGACGGCCGATAGCGTCGCCCCTCCCACGCCCCTGGCCGTTCCCAGGATGGCCGACTTGATGTCGAGGATGTCGAGGCTGGGCCCGGCGCGCGGCACGCGGTTCTTCCACACGCCATAGGCGATGCGCGCCATCTCGCCCACGACGGCGAGCAGCACCAGCAGGCTGAAGGCGGCCGACGTGTAGATGTAGCCGACCTCGCCGTACTTGATGACGGCGACGTTCAGGGTCGCCTCGACCCCCCCTGACGTGCGTCCACCACGCCGCCCTGTGGCCGTTGGCGAGGATGCCAAAGATCTGGTCCAGGAGCACCTCCAGCCCATCTTGGATCCCCCTCATCACGTGCATTTCCGTCGCGTCGATTTTGCCGTTCGTTTCGGCCAGCCTCTCGTTCTCGTGCTGGTAGAAGAACATGTCGATGTTGTCCAGGAAGGCGTCGCCCAGCACCGACGTGTAAAGCGTGGTCATGGTCTGCGACAAGTAGCTGACGGAGCGGAAGGCGTTGTTGACCAGGTCGCGGCTGGGGTCGATGTCGTCGTTGGACCCGGTGATCGGCTTGACCTGGATGGACTTGTCCGTGTCGTTGACCAAGATGTCGAATTTCGTGGGCTTGAAGATGACACTGCACTGCACGCCCTGCAGGGAGGGGTAGGCGTCGCCGGCCACGAATCCGTACATGTACCTGCCCCGCTGGTTGGAGTTGGCGATAACGACCGTCGTGTTCAGGCTCTCGTTCTCGCTCCAGACCTGGCTTCCGCTCCAGTTACCGTTGGGCAGGTCGGCCCAGGCCCAGCCGAGGTGCATCTGGGCCCGCGAGTTGGTGAAGGTGAAGGAGCCATCCTCGAAGTTCGCGATGTGCCACCACTCCGGTTTGGTCACGTTGCGCTTGCACTCCACGTTGGTCCAGTAGCCGCTCTCCTGGTACCCGTAGCTCTGGATGACGCCCGAGCGCCCAGTCCACCGTGTCTGATTCAGGCCCGCCGACATTCCGACGCCGTACGACCGGGTGCTGTACCAGTATCCTGTGTTGTCCAGCCGTGGGTATCTCGAGGTCTGATCGTCGGCTGTCTTTGTCGAGGCCGTCGCGATGACGTTTTGCAAAGCGCCAGCACTGTCTGGATCCAGGTGAAACCAGGGGGGGTTAGTCGGCGAATGAGACCAAATCCTGCTAGAGGGAAAAACTCACATTTCCATGGCAGCTAATTGAAAGATCCAAATTTGGAAAAATACGGTATGAATTCATCCGAGCACTTGTCGAGGGGGCCACACCGTGTCCCCCAGCCACTCCGACTCGCCTCGTCATAGTTGGAGATGTTGACCACGCCCGGGATCTGTGCCTGACCGAGCTTGGGCGTAATGGTGCCCGCCCACATGGGCGCGATGCTCTTGAGGAACAACCACCAGACCAGGATCTGCAGCACGACGGGCCAGCGCAGGTCAAAGTCCATGACGCCGCGGACCACGGCGCTGCGGATCTTGAGGGCGTCGAGCGTCATGCCGGACCGGCGGCCCTGGGCCAGCCCCTCGTCCGAGGCGAAGGCGCGGGCGTTTGTGCGGAAGCGCAGGACGCTGCTGACGGCGTAGAACTGCAGCCCGCCCAGCACCGCCGCGGCCACCTGCACGGCCACCTGGATGTTGACGCGGTTGTTGTTGAGGAACTCGACCTTGAACTCGCTGTAGGACCGGAGCTGCGTCGTCAGCAGGCATGTGAGCCCGATGCCGGCCGGCACCATGGCGGCCGCCAGCGGGAGGATGAACCGCCGCCAGGCGTGAGGGGTCTTGGGGTCGTTTGTCATGGTTGGCCTGGCCAAGGGTCGGGTTGGGACGAAGAAGGGGGACTGGACGGATGGGCAGACAATGAACAAAGGCCGATCCGAGAGCTCCCGGTCTTGGATGCTTGGGTAAAAACTCGATGCATTTGGGCACCTGTTTCTATGGCGGACAGCGCGGCATTTATCGCACCAACCCTCCTCGCCAGCCCTGTCCTCCCAAGCATCAGTGCCATCTTGCAGAACCAACAGCCACAGCCAACTCCACCGGGTCCACGAGCCGACATGGCCCTACCGCCAATCGTGTCGTGGTGGGAGCCGCCCAGACGGGGGGGCCCAGCTGCGCGTTGCCAGTTGTGGACTGGAGGGTCCATAGCGAATAACACCCAGGCACGTCTGGCACGACTACCACAAAAAAGATAACAGCGAACAGGAATGACAGCTGCCTGGAAGAATCACAGGAAAAACAACAGTAAGAACAGTAGAAAGAATAGCAGAAAGAACAGCAGGAAAAACAATAGAAACAATCATCAAATTAGGAAGGCGCTGGCATTTTGCTTCCTAGGACCTGGATGATTGCCGCTTTTTTTTTGTGGTGGCGTGCCGCCCAGATGGGAGGCCCTGCTGGTGCGTTGTGGATTTAACCACAGCAAACAGCACCCAGATCTACTGGCGCGCGCTTTTCTCTGCATTCAGCTCGCGACTGCACAGCAACATGGGAACGCCCGTCTCATGCAATTGGAATTAATTCAATCGTCAAAACCAGTGATTTCCTAGGCCATTGCGTGGAGTGGGCCGGCAAATGTGTTTTCTCTGAACAAAGACGTGGTTGGGGGGTCGCACATGCGCGGCCCAAAACTGAAATGCGGCTCAACAGACATGAGGCTCGATTGTCACGGTGCGCGCCCAACTGTATCGCACAGTTATCCCAGCTCTGGCAGTCCTGCTCTGGCAGCCCAGCCCCGGCATTCTCACGCCGTGGCGTCCTCCATGACCGTGTCCTCCATGACCATGTCCTCCTCCTCCTCCTCCTCCTCCTCCTCCTCCTCATCCTCCTCATCCTCCTCAGCCAAAAACTTCTCGAGCGCCTCCGGATCGTCCAAGTCCAGATCCTCCTCTCTCTGGGCCGCCTGCACCCTGGCTTGCAGCTCGGGGTGCTAGGCAAGGTAGCCTGGGGGATGTATCCTCTCCACGGTCCGCATGGCGGGGTAGACGTCCAGGGGGTTGTTTATGTCCGCGCGCCACCAGTATGAGCCGTCGGCGCGCCATCCCTCGCCGTCAAGCGGCCGGTGGAGGGTGGGATGCATCTCCCACTTGTCGTACGCGCTCCACCGGAAGTTGTCGAGAAGGTGGACGATCAGGGTTTTCCGCGCTCCCGAAAGGGTAAGGATAAGATATTGACGACGGGCCTGAACCAAAGTATCGATAAGGCTGGTAAGGGCTTGGGTGGTGAGATCGAGAGGGATAAGGCACACGCGGTCCAGATCTTCCACGCTTAGCTCTTCGACCAGCTTTTCGAGGGCCTCGACAACCGCACCGTCCGTATTCAACGCATATTTAAGGGCGGTGTAAAATGCAAATTCGCCTCTGGTGTACATTATCTCGCCATGCTCAATGGCGAGGATCAAGATGCTGCACAAAACAGTCGTCATTTTGTTTCGGTCGAGGTGTCCGACGGCCCTCTGCAGCCCATTGCGGAAATCGCTGCCCACCCGATAGTCGGCGAACAAAGGGCTGTTCGGCGGCAGCAAAAGGCCCTTGGGGTCCACTAGAGACTTCATGGACCTGGGCCTAGCCGATGTAGCTGCGGTTGAAAGGAGTTAGCGACTTTCGCAAAGCAAATAGGGAAAATAAATAAGAGGCATACCATGGCGGAGTGGCAAGCTAAACATCGCGACAATTCAAATGCTGGGTGGGATTTGGGATTGTCGGGATGGAGAAGGCTTGAAAAAATTGGCTTGGAAAAAGTTTGAAAGGGAAGAAAACACTGCTTCGCTGACATGGTCGTGCACAGGTAGGAAGAAGATTAAATAGGAAAAAACGGTTGGCCAAGGAAGAGAAGGAAAGAGCGACCGATATGGGAAGAGAAGGCGAAACCCGGCTGATAAGTAAAAAAGAAAAAAAGAAAGAAAAAAAACCTGGATAAGCTCTAAGAGTTTCGAATGTGTAAACCCCAGAGCTACTTATACAACCCCTCGGGTAGAACCACGGAGGAGCCGAGAGATACCGTTACACTACGCAGGTAGATGTTAAGTTAACAACCACCCCTTCGACCTTGCCTTTAAAGCTTAGCACCGCATTGTTTGATGCTGGCCTGGTCCGAGCTTCCGAGGTGTTCTTTCTGCCTCGGGTTGCCGCAGTCCGAGGACCCACCAGCAAAGCAGAGATCAGGCGGTAGACATGAAATAGCGGGCAGCCAGCAGCAACCCAGTAAACCCCGGTCGGTAAGCACACGAGTTCAAACTCATCGTCCGAACCGGAGCCTTCACAGCTTTGGCTAGCATTTTCATCCCGAGGAGCCCAGGGGTGCGGCGGTTCAGGTTGAGGTGTGAGGTTGGGCTTGGCACTGGCAGCCTTGCGGCCCCGCGATGTTGACTGCCCGCCCGCGTAGCCCCCTGTCTATCTGCCTTACTCCGCTGTGCATGGCAAACCTAAGGGTCGCCCAGGAATTGAAATTGATAATGCCGAAACTGCCTTGGATCACGCTCACCGCGCATTTGTTTACCAGGACATGTTGTGAGTGGCCAACTGTGCGTTGGAAGCCACACGCTTGAGAAATCAGCGTAAGACATGGCGCTGAACGGCGCGGCTGGCGGAATTGTTTCAGCGTAGCTGCAATTGTCTTTAAATGATTTCTTTATTTCTATTCCTATCGTTATTCCTGTTTTTATTCCCAGGGCTCATTCCTTTTCCTGATTCTTCTTTTTATTTCGCTTTATCGTTCTTATACGCCTTCTTTTTCTTTATTCTTGTACGCGTTTCTCTTATCTCCTGTGAATTCTTTTGGCTTGTTTTCTTTTGTATTCGTTTTCTTGGAAAAGGTTGTCTTGGCGCATTGCGGAGGCTTGTCAATGCTGACGGCCTGAGCAGTCACTGCCAATTGAGAAACACCATGTTGATCTGCATATCTCGTCTGTACATTCAACAACTACACAATAAACTACAAAACGCCCCCTACGGAACCCGGTGCGCATCCACGCTCGTCCTCGCCCTGCTGATAGTTCTCCGAATCTCGGCGTCCTGGTCCTCGCGCGCCGCGTCGTCCCAACCGGGCAGCTTGACCGAGTGATCCAGGGCGACGGGCAGGCCCCTGTGGCGGCCGCGGATCATCATGAGCACCATGACGACCTTGCTGCCGGCGAACCAGCCGCCGCAGAAGCTGAAGGACTTGCCCGTCAGGCCGACCGAGATGCCGATGTTTGTGTAGCCCGACACGATCTCGAACAGAAAGTTGAAGATGCTGTAGCCCTGCGGGTCGGCGATGGAGTGCGCCGTCTCGATCAGGGCGACCAGGAAGAGGGCCAGGGCGATGGACCACATGTCGTGCGACAGCTGGCCCCTAAGGTGCTGCGAGACGAGGCTGATGCCGCCCTCGGGCGCGGCGACGGGCGCGGGGTCGTCAAAGTCGATCTCCTCGGACCGCTTGAGGCCGGGGATGGGGACGTAGTCGCGCCGCGAACTGGTGTCGATGCCCACGCCTTGGAAGTCGTTCATGCGCCGCTGAATCTGCTTGCCGACGAAGGCGGTGCCGCGCCGGCCGACGGCGGCCAGCGACTTGATGGGTTGCATGGACCTTGATATGGCGGTCGTGTGCGACGCCGCCACCGAGGTGGGCGACAGGAGCGGGGCGATGACCGTCATCTCTGCCGCGGCCTCGGCGGCGTCCTCCTCCTCGTCCTGTTTCTGCGCCTCGTCCACCGAATAAAGACCGAGGGATCGTTCTTCGTAGACCTGTTGAGTTGTGGTAGACGGTTAGCTGTGATGGCGGAGGGAAGCCAGAGGAAGAGGAGAATGGAGACATACGTTCGAATTGCGCATGACAATAATCTCGGGGTACGCGGCCAGGTACATGGTGACAAGCAGGAGCACCAACAGGCCAAACCACAGCCCCGAGATGGAAAATACGGCAAGCCCGCTCGAGGGCGTGGCGATGGCCTGGAAGAGCATGATGCCGGTGCGGGCGGGGTTAGGGGTGTCGTCGAAAAGCGAGTTGCCAATGTTGAGCACCACGAGCCCGACCCAGTTGATGAGCACGAGGGTGGAGAAGAAGCCGATGAAGACGAGGTTTTGGCGCGACGGGAACATGAGCATGAACAGACGGCGCGGGTACTTGAGGATGAAGTCGAAGGCCTCCTCCCACGCGCCGTAGTCGTGGCCGGTCGGGCCGTAGCGGGCGATGCCGTACTTGAAGCCGAGGCGGCAGACGTAGACGGTGCCGCGGACAAAGGCCGGGAAGGCGGCGTTGCCAGCGAGCGAAAGGATGGTGACGATGGTCAGGACGAAGGGGTCGCGGTTGAAGGCGGCGATGCCGGCGTCCAGCAGTGTCATGCCGGCGTTATTGAAGGCCGACACGGCCAGGAAGACGCCGGTCCACCAGGGGTCCTGGTTGTTGACGGCGCAGATCTCGCGGCTGTAGGTTGCCATCCAGGCGCCGAGTGCGATGGCGCCAAGGGCCTGCCAGAGGAAGAAGTAGACGGCGTTGATGACGAATAGGAGTTTGAGCGACCGATACTCGACGCCGCCCAGGTACTCGCGCTGGTCCTCGTCCAGGTCGAAGAACTGTCCGTTGCGCCCGATGGAGCTCTTGTGCTCCTTGACGAAATGGCGGAAGTCGAAGCCGTGGTGCGCCCCTCCAAAGCCTCCCGCGCCGCCTCCCACCCTGGCCGTTGCCGCGCGTGCGAGCTGCGGCGGGCGGTGGTTACGGTGTCGGAAGTGGGCGTGCGAGGGCGCGGTGTGATCGCCGCGGCCGCCGGGCGACAGGGGGTTGCCGTTGTTGCCGTTGTTGCCGTCGAGGACGTTTTGCAGCACCGCGGCGTGCGGGTGTGTGGCGGTCGGCGTGGTGGTGCTTGCGGGCTGGGCGGCAGGGGTGGCGTCACTGTCCTCGAAGTGGGAGCTGCGGCGGTCGGATGCGTGTTTGTTGGGCTTCGAGAGCTCAAAGGCGTCGAGCTTGGCGCGCCGGGAGTGCTCGCTGGCGTCGGCCTGATGGGCGCCAAAGGATGACATGACGGGCAGGCCGGCCATGGCACCAGCCATGCCAATCATTGCCCCCGTGGCCCGCTTGCGCCGGCGCTTCTCGCGCTCAAAGTTCTCGACGTGCTCGAAGCGCTTGGAGAAGTGATACAGGCGCACCAGGATGGTGCTCTCGGCGACGAGTATGGGGCTGCCCAGGATCATCATCAGAAACAAAATGGCCTGCTGGCCCGTAACCAGGTCGCTGAGGTTGATGGTATTGAGGCCGCTGCCGGTGAAGGACGACATGATGAGGAACCACGAGTCGATAAAGCTGAGTGTCGTGAACTCCTCGCGGTCCGACAGGGCGAAGAAGACGGCCGACATGACGAGGCCGAAAAAGACAAAATAGGAGTAGTGTATGGTGATAAAGTTCACGGGCGGGAGATAGGGCTTGATGCCCGGGTAGACGCGCGCCCAGGCATCGCGGAGGGAATGCCAGGCGGCGACGAGTCTGGCCTGGAGGCTATTGCTGGCGCCATTGTTGGTGCTGGCGATGCCCATCAGGGGAGGAGGGTGCCCAGAGTCGAGGGCGCGATTGGCGATGGTGGGGAGGAGTGGTGTCGTGGAGCAAGTTCGGGTGGCCAAGGCTGGGCGATGGGGGGGTGTTTTGTTCTAGATTTCTTTATCTCCTGAGGCGGTGGATCAAATCGCTGTTTGCAGCGACGACGTCTCAGATGCCGGCACTAGCACAGATGGCCGTGCTGGCATGCGTGTCGCGGTGGAGCGCGTTCCGGCTGGACGGGCCCTGCCGTTCGTTGGTCTGGACAGGCCTTGTCTGGACAGGCCTGAATGGCACAGCCCTGATGTGACGGGTGCCCTGACAGGCTGAGGCTGGCATGACAGCGCAGAGTCCACAGCTCCACATGCAGTCCGGCCGTGCAGGGGTCGTCGTCGTCGGGGTCCGCGGTCGCGTTTTGCTGCACGTCAGCACCAACGAATCTCAGCGCACGGGCCTGGAGGCCGTCGACGGTTGCTGGGCTAGTCTGGGAAAAGTAAAAATGGGATGGATTACAGGAACCGAATCAAGGTTCTACGGGTATATAGCACGACAAATGCTGCAGAATATGGTGGATGCCAGTTAAGCACCAACAACATCCCCGACGTCAGTCGTCGCCAACATGTGTAGATCAATCTTAAATCAATCGCTTGACGCGTCGTGACTGCAAGCCCGGCCCTCGATGCCATGACGGCCACGCAACAAACAGTGGCAATGGAATTGATATGACAAAATCACAAAACGTAGAAGCTGTATCCCGTATTGGCCTTTGGCTTAATTGGAAAGCTTATTTCAACCGCCCGCTGCACTCGGTCGATGGGTCGGCCACGCGCCAGATGGAGAATGTGGATCGTGTGGTGGAAAACGGCCACTCCCGGCTGCTGCTGCATCTGGTGCAAGAATAATCCCTGTTGATGCGTGGAGCCCACTGCTTTGTCTGGCAAATGGCAAATGCAAACATCTGGCATTGCCACTAGGAAAGCAAGCCACTCTAGCAGAACCCTAGCAAACGTCACACAGGTAGGACAGATAGCCAGCCTTGCCTCGTCGCACCGCCTCCCACCTGCACCTGTCCATTCTCCTCCCATTCTCCTCCCATTCTCCTCCCATTCTCCTCCCATTCTCCTCCCATTCTCCTCCCATTCTCCTCCCAAGCCCTGCCCGTCGTCCCGAATAGGAAACTCCGCCACCTGCTAGCACTGCCCAGACACGCGTCGCTGGTTGGTAAAGGACACGCTGAGGTCGTCCGTCCGCAGGCTCCCGAACGCCGTCGAGCTGGCCGGCGTCGCAAAGAAGGCCCTCGCATTCACAAAGAACAGCACCGACCGCCCGCCGGCGTTGACGGCCGTCCCGACGCTATCGGTCCGCACCCACGGCTGCCCGCCCGCCCAGACCCCGCCCGACAGCACCGCCTGCGACACCCCGCCGCCCGTGGTCAGCCGCCCGGGGCTGGTGCCGTAGCTGGCCTCGAGCGTGCCCGTGTTGCCCGCGGGGAACTCGGCGAACCCGTGCGACGTCGCCACCACCGTCAACGCCACGCAGCCCGACGGGTACGTGGCCGCCAGTATGATGGTGCAGCGCATGTCGCGCCCCGACGCCGGGTTGAGAAACGCCTCCCAGTTGTCGAACCCGAGCGTCACGCTCGACCCGTCCTGGCTGATCTGCGACGCCCACGTCCCGGACGGACAGCCCGTGCCCGCCGTCGTCACCGACGTGATGCGGATGCGCTCGTTAGGTGGGAGGGTCTGGCGCGGCGCGAGGGGGGCGGCGGGGGCTGCCGCTGTCAGCGCGGGGAGGAGGGCGGTGAGAATAAAGATGGGATGCATGGTGGGCTTAGTTTTGTATGGCTAACACGAGATGATGGAAATGACAAGCTTGTTGGAGTCTGATGATGGACAGGAGAGGACCCCGGATGCCTGGAACGAGTATTCGCAAACACCGCTGCTGCAGTGAAGGTCTGGCCATATTTATATAGCACCAGCCTCTGCTGTGCTTCGTACCCAGGAGCCCAAGATGCCGTAGTAGGCAAGTGATCCGACGAGCGGCCCAGCAGGCAGCATCGCTCTCCTGCCACGCCGCCAAGGAAGCGAAAAGCTAGTATTGTCTCCGACCCCCGGGGCTGTTCCGCCCGTCATGCTCCTCAAGGTGTCTGCCTTGCGCTAGCATCCCCACGGGGATTTATTTTTGTGTTCCAGTGGGTGACAACATGAACTTTGCCGCATGTGGAGTGCTCGGGGCCACCGACGGAAAGCCATTTGGACGCAGGGCAACTAAGACCTGTCGATACGACCTTCCGCTTTCCTCGTGGTTCGATTCGTGGTGGAGTAAAGGACGGTGTAGTTTTTTTTTTTTTAATATATCTTCGCCTTTTTTTCTTACTTTCATTATACTGCTAATTATTGTTTTTTTGTTTTACGCTTTTATCTTTCCCTTTTTGCCCCTTTTGCTTTCTTTTACATCCCCATATATGACATCGGAATTCCCTCGTATCGATATTCATCGTGGGTGGCGCCATGCTGACGAACCCAGAATTCAGTCAGTAAAAGCCGCGAGGGGAATCTAGAGGCACATAGGGTTGCATCCTGCCGCCCCAAGAATCGAGGGCTGATACCTGAGCACCACTCATCCCGCGTCCCAAGAACATGTATTCCGCCCGATGTAGATGCCGCACCTCGCTTGTGTGGAGACCGGGCGGCAGGAGAAGGAATTATTGATTCTCGCATCCCCGCAGCTGCCACACCCTCGCTTTGGGGCCGAGGAAGAGGGTGTGCTCGCGCCTTTTGCACACTGCTTACCACGGCGAATCACAATTCCTCGAGTAAGCATTCGATGGTGTGTGCCGCGCTGGGCTGGGCAGTGTACCAAGAGGAGCTCGCTACCATGCTTGGTGCCAGTCCGCGACAAGAAGGCACAGTCTCACGAGATCAATATTCGGTGCGGTGAAAAGGAAGGAGGTTTTCCCTCTTGTCCCTCGTCAGCTGGCGTATCCCATTACGCACTTCCTCTGAACCAAACACTTGCACAATCTGGGCGTAAGCGCCGGTTGGTTAATTAATCCTGCGCAAGCGGACGGCATTCCATATTGCACACGCAGCATCGGACATTTGGGAAGGCAGCGGGCGGGAGCGGGCAAAGGCTCGCTAGCGCACTTTAGATAAATGAATCCGTTGGACCAGAAATTAAATGCCTGCCACCCGTGTCCCGTGATTTACACCGCCGCCTTTTCGAAGGGAGAGCAGTCCGTTGGTTGGCTCGAATGCAACGGCTTATGCCGTGCCGCTATTTCTTCACTGCACAACTGCCTCATCGGGAGGCTTCACCTCATCATAAATTTTGTCGTACTATCGTAAAAAAAAAAAAAGTCATGTGATTTCATGCAAAGGACTAATCAATGGAAAGGGCAGGAATTGGGAGGATGGTACAATAAAAAACAGAAGAAACATTAACTTTAGGAAGGAGCAGAAATACTTATTTCTGTCAGACGTATAGCGAGAGAGATCAACGGCCACTTGGCCATGGCTTGCCTCAGCTTTGCACAGACTTCTGCCATGCTCTTTGACACATAGAATGCAAGTCGCGCGAGTCTTTGAAGCGCACCTCGCGGTTTCGGATGACGGCGGCGTGCTGCTTCATCGCAGTCAGAGAGATGTCGCGCTTCGGGGAAGGGGGCGGCGGGTTGGGCTTCTTGCGCTCACCGAACAGCTCGTCCGGGTGGGCCTCGAGCAGGACCGTGTCGCCGCGCTCAAAGGCCTCGTCGAGCTGCGGGGCGTCGGCGTACGCGCGCCGGAACTTCTCGGTGCAAGTCTGCTTGAAGCAGAGCCACCAGGGGCCGTCACGGGGGATGAACCCCAGCGACATCAAGGTCGTTGGGTACTCAAGGGCGCAGCTCGAGCACGTGCCCATGTCGCCGCCGTTTTCCTCGTACAGCTTGATGAAATCATCGAAGTTCTCGATCGCGGGGAAGCCGTCATCAGACATCCTGCCCCAGGACGGCAGCTTCAAGTTTTTGTAGTAGTCGTCCCAGTTGGGCTTATAAATGCTCAACATCTTCAACTTCTCGTTCCAGACAAGGCTGGGCGAAGAAGCGCAGGCGGTAGACATGTTGTAAAGGATGTTTACTTGGACTGACCAGTGTTCTGGTGGGTGATTGGGTATTGTTGAAACTTACCGACATACACGGTGGCTGTCCGGGTGTAGGAGTTGGAGCGAAGGGATGTGTTGTTGGAGGTAATGTATAGGGTACCAGGGAATATTTTGGAACATGGAAGATATCGATAATTTATGGGCACTTGCAGCAGTCGCTGGAATGCTGGCCCTTTCCTCTCCTCACAATGGAACAATGCATCGCTGCGAGACCAACGCCCAGATCTGGCACCCAAGATCAGCTTGGCAGAGAAAAGAACGAGGACAATGGGGACGGCGGCAGAGGGAGCTGTCAACCACCGACGCAGCGGCCTCAACGGCGCTAGCTAGACGATATGTGCCCAAGACGCTAAGCACGTGTGCTGTTGGAAAACAAGCGGTCTGGATTCGGCTGCAAGGTGCGCTTGACGGATAAACGTTTATGAAACCGCCAACGGACCATCACAATCAGCTGGACGCCCATCCCCCAGGGTCAAGTCAGGGGCACGCTGATCGGCGTGGGCGAGCCGACGTCAGCGGCGGGGTGGGGAAGTGGCCGGAGAGAAGCACAAAGAAGGACAAGGCTGTCGGGCAGCGAACAAGACAAACAAGCTGCATTGTGCCATTGTCTATCAGGGACCATTGCCATGTGTGGTGGCTCAGGTCTAGGAGAAAAGCAATGCATGCGTGATAAGGATCTTGGTCGATCTTCATCCCGCCGTCCGTGCGGCGTCAAAGGAAAGCGCCTTGTATTGTTTGCTTTTTTTTCTTTTTTCTTCTTTTTTCCTTCTTCTTTTTTTGCAAATGCTCACTGGTGAATGGCACATACTGACTGCACAATGGCTCTCGCCCCATCTGTCTGCTTGCTTATTGATTGTTGTTGTTGCATTGTGGTGTTGTCCTCGTCTTGCACTGCATGGACTGCGGCTGAGGGATTCCACTGCTGGAGTTGGCGTGGCCAGCGTTTCACCAGTCGCGGTAATTGACATCCATGGCGTAGAGCCGCGCTGTGGCTGGTACCGCTGCCAACCCCAGCAGGCTCCTGTCGGGTGCCAGCCGAGGCAACGCCGGCTTTAACCAGAAGGCGATTGTGATCGGCGCCCGACGTCGCCTAGTCCCGTTGCGGCCGCCGCCAGCGCACGACGCCGTGGACGTCCAAGGTTCCCGCCCTGCAGATCGTTGGCTTCGACATCTCGGTCAAATTTCTGCGCCAAGGCAGTAGAGCTGGAGGCTATTGACCGCTAGGGAATGGCTTCGAACTCTCCTCCTTTTGCAGATCGACAAGTCGAGTCTGCAGGGTCGACGGGCTTGTCGACGAGCTGCCACCACGAGTATATATGTCCGCTCGACCTGTCCCTCAAGTCCATCCGAGTCTTTCTCTTCATCCCAGCAGCATCAGCCTCTAATCCTCTGCACCCCACACTCTTTTACAACATCCAACTTGCAGTCGCTCTTTGCCACTTACCTGGACACATCTCCTTCTAATAACTCCTAATAATTATCCCTCCTCCTCCTCCACCGTCAAGATGAAGTTCTCCGTCCTCGCCGCTTCCGCCACCTTCGGCGCCGCCCTGGCCGTTCCCTTCCATGACAAGTCCGGCTCTATGCCCGGCGCCAGCATTCCCACCCCCAGCCTCAGCGTCCCCGCCGCGGATGCCTCCAAGGCCGCCTCCGCCATCTGGACCGTCACCCCGACTGGCTTTCCGACCGGTGTCCCGACTGGCGCTCCCGCCTCTTTCAAGGCCCCCTTCGAGGTGTCCTCCGTAGACCACTCGGCTCCCGCGGTCCCCACCGGTCTCCCCACCGGCTCGCCCATCCCGCACGACAGCGCCACCTGCATCCGCGAGGCCGTCGTCCTGGTCAAGACTTTCAAGGAGGACGTGCACAAGGAGCTCCTCATTGTCAAGACCCTCGTCAGCGGGCCCGCCGAGAAGCTCGAGGAGAAGATCGTGGCCATCACGAGCCGCGTCGAGGAGTGCAAGTCCAAGTTCGAGACCCTCCTCGCCAGCGTCAAGCCCGAGGAGCTCGGAGCCGAGGACCGCGAGACCGTCCTGACCCTGCTCTCGGAGCTCAAGGAGGTCGTCGAGGAGGTCGAGGCCTGCATCGTCGGCCTCGCCAAGGTTCTGACTGCCAAGGTCCTGTCCGTCCTCCTGCCCAAGATCGCCGCCCTTAAGGAGTGCCTCGGTGCCCTCGTCGCCCCGCTCCTGAAGATCGCCTTTGCCATCTGCGCCCTCGTCAAGAACGACGTCATCGTCGCCAAGATTGCCTTTGTCGCCAGCTCGCTCGAGAACTGCCTGGCCAAGTTCCTGTCGCCCGTTCTTGCTCTCATCGGCAAGTTCCTTCTGTAAAGCCCTTGGCTTCTGACATGGCAAAAGGCCGCGCCTTCTAGGCTTCTCTGGTGTTTACAGCAAAAGTGGTGTGTAATTAGATTTGGGGTTGTAAGCGTTGCATCTTGTATTTAGCTAGGGGCCGTGTTCGTTACTTAGTGTAGTGGTTTAGCTCTTCCTTGCTTGGCAATATACCCTCAAGCTTGTTGTCCGGGAATAATCTACATCAGTACTGTGATCCTTGTTATGTCCACTCTCATCGCTAGCTATTTTTCCAACTATCTTCCGCATTCCATGACAGCTAACCCGAAAACTCACACGCTAGGACCCCGATCTTTGGAGCATGCCCCGGTAAGAGAACACGGCTCGGGCTTACAATCGCACGTGCGCGTTTCAACCCGCATGGGCATCCCACGCTTGATCCAGAGCCGGCAAGGTAGTCTGCCGGGGACTCATGCCAGCACGTCGTATCGTGCGCTAACTTGGCAAATCGGAAAGGGTTTTGGACGGCGCGCCGTTCGGTGGCGAGTTGCTGTCCGGCCAGTTCCCAGCCCGGGTCGTCCGCCCGCACCTCCACAAAGCGGACGCCGTTCCCGTAGAAAACGGCCCGGTCAGGGGCGATCCGGTTGTTCTCGGCACCTTGACCAAAGGGCGATCTCTTCAGCCGGTATTCGACCAGCCACAATTTCTGTAGCGCTAGATGAGTCCGGACAAAAAGCCACATGACATCCCCTGGTACGGGAAACTCGACAGCCACATTGACGGAGCCGTGAAAGGGACAGCCATTCCCGGTCCTTCCTCCACCCACCCTAGTGTCGGGAAATACCTTGATTAGGTCCTGGGTCGTTATACAGATGAGATCACTCGGCGAAACCTGAAAGTGCTGTGTCACTCCTTTGCCGTTGGTGTCGAACAAACACGTCTTGGCCTTGTTCGCGCTCGGGGGGGCCGCCGGCCGGTCCAGGTCGCACCGTCTGGGGCAGCCACAATCGCCCGGTTCCAAGTCGTCAGACGCCGCCGGCTGGCACGGCCAGCCATAGTCGCAAAGTGGGGGGCAGGGACACTCGCTCGGGGTCGTATCCGATCTCCTCGGCGCTGGCAGGTCACCAAAGTCGACGGCGCATTGGCAGCCGGTCCGGGGCGTCAGCGCCGATAGGGGGCCCCGGAACTTGGCAACGGTGACCCGCGACTCCCAGCACGTGGCCCGGAGGGCGCTAACCGTCATGTAGGATGACGGGTTCTTGCGGGTCCACGGGCTGGCGGCGTCCCGTTTGCGGGGGTCGGCGCCAGAGTAGCGGCGAACTGGCAGCGCGCCGCCGTCGCTTACGTTGTCGCAGTCGAGGAGTTGGCGGAGGCCCCGCACCAAGGCGTCTTGCTGGCGGCGGTCGGTGGACGTGGCCGTCAAGAAGTGAACCCCCGGCCGGTCCGAGGAAGTGGTAGCGGCATGCTTCCAAATCATGAGGCGGAGTTCTTTGGGCAGTGCCAAGAAACAGGTAAAAGCCCGGGTGTCGGAAGTCATATTGGCTCGAACCGAATGGACCTCGTCTCAAGAGTCTGCGCACGAGCAAGGGCTGGCTTGAAGCGAATTAATGACTGGATCTTTAATGTGTGTGCTGTGAGTGAGGGCTCTGATCAACTACTTCTCTCAGGTGCAGCCCTTCAAATACATACCCTCCCATCAATGCATCGGAGCTGGGTTTAGTTCGGAGATTGGTTTAGCTTTTGCCAAGTGTGGAATCGCACCCAGCTCGACACGCTTTAAGCTCCACCATGGTCGTTGACCTTGGACACACCACCGACGACGTATTTCCTCATGGCCTCCTCGGGGGAGCCGTTGGTGCCGTGCAACGCGATGCGCATCCTGTCGGCAACCAAAGCCGGCCATTACCCCAGCTGAATCTCTTCCCAGGTCGATGTCGCAAAAGCCAGCTTGAACACCTTCCCGACTGCCCGGCGCTCCCACAAGGTGTTATCCGCTGATTTCTCGAGCAACATGACGTAATACAGGTCCCACTGGCTGTCGCTCTTCATCTTGGGGACGTAGCGATTCCACGACGGACACTCCTCGTCAGTAAACGTTATGGCGTCGCTGAGCGCGATGAACACGAGCTCCAGCCCCTGCCGCGCCGTGATCCACGGCTTCGGCAGCATGATGGCCCCGCACCAGTCGTTGGTATTGTCGAAAATGTCGCAGCGGCTTTCGGGCAGCTGTGAGCCAGCGTTTGGAACCGGTCCGTCGGCGCCGCAAGGTTCGGGGTTCGGCCCGCTCGCCGTGCTGTCAGCCCTATCCTTTTCTCCCCCTGCCGTGGTAACAGACCTAGGGCCGCTGGTGGCGCTGCCACCAACGTTTCTGTCATGGCCGTCGTTGCGTTCCAACGAGTCTTTTGTCCGCGAGCAACAAGACTCCGTGGGGTCCGTCGGGCTGTTTGTGCGCGCCGCCTGGTCGCACTGCACGCTGCCAACATTTTCATCCCTGACGAAAACCTTGAGCATTGTCAAATGGGTGAAGAACTGCAGCGTGGGCATCAATCGGACTGCGATGGACGTAAACGACCCTATGCGCACGCCGAAAGGGTGATCGGGAAGGATCCCGACAAAGTCTGCGCTTGGCAGCTTCTGGTGTCGGACCCGGCGGCCATAAATGTCCTCTTGTTCCCGGAGCAGGTGTTGATCACCGAGAGCCTTGTACTGAAATGACCCCGTAGTTGGCTGGGGAGAGCGGGCGGCGTGTCTCGTGCTGTCGTAAGGGAAGGGGTTAGGATTATGGTGGACTGGGGTTGGGGCAGGTACGGGAGGCAATGGGGAAGGGAAAAAATGGTATGGACAGGTACGCAGGTAGGTAGGTACCTTTTTCGGCCATCTTGCCAAGGCGCCGGCGGCGGATTTCCGGAATTTGGAAAGTCGCCAAACCTGCCGCGGTAGCCCCTCCAGCGCTCCTCTTGCACAACCGTCTCGCGACAAAGGGAACTGTTCCAAAGAGGACGCAGGGTCCCCGACTCGTCTCGAACGTGCCACACTATCCACGTGTGATCTCGAAGCCACTCCCGCACGTTTAAAACACAGCCTTCTACCATATGAGGCGAGTACTCAGCCTTGCCACCCATCCAGCCGGCCCACGACCAGCTGGGAAACTCTCCGTTATCGGAGCTTTCCTCGCCTCTTTTACAAGAGCATCCCTCAATCGAACCCTGCGAGCAGAGACCGCCCCCAGCTCGATGCTGCGACTGCCGATCAAGCTTGCGCCTCTGGAGCTGGGAACAGGGCGTCCAAAGGAGAGCAAGGTCGAAATGCGAGGCTGGCAGACAGTAGATGATGTTGGAGCGCATGTGCTGGCTAAAAAGCCACGAGGCCCCATGGAAAGCCGCACCCACGTCATTGGGGTTGGTTAGTATTCGGCCCGTGTACTGCTGGACGCATTTCATGTAGAACCAAAAGGCCCGCGTCTCCAGCTCGGCCAAGGTTCGCTGGGCGGAATATTCCGAATCGAGAGACCAGCCAAGTTCGTGGCCGTCGTTGCTGCCATCGCCGTTGCGCTGAGGGATGGGCTCGGTGTGGACGTCTTGCGACATGAATGATGTTTGACACTGGAAGTAGACTTTGCCCTCGGCAAATATCAGGCACCTTTTGGAAAGGAGCTGTTCTTGGAATGTCCAACTGCGGCTGCTCCAAGCAGATGCCTCAATGACGGCCTCGGGGGATCTGCAGACAAGCAGATCGATCCCGGGACTGTACTCGACGACGATGGACGTATTTTCCTGGCCGCCCATCGCACCTGGGGCGTGCCCTGATAGCAAGTTGGCATCGGTAGCGTCGGTAGCTTGCGAAGAGGGCATGCCAGTCCTACTTTTCAGCACGGCCGACTCCATCTCGGCGAGGGTTCGCCTCACAGCCCTCAACCCTGTAGTCGCATCGCCGTCGGCCGCGCAGATGGTAAAAAGTGCATAGCCGTAGACGAGGTGCATGGATTGCGCGTTAAAGTTCCAAGAAACCCGGCTGTCCTGGGTAATACAAAGCGAATCTACCCAGAGGTAGCGGAGGCCCAGCCGCCGCACCAACAAGAATGCATCTTTGATGGTGGCAGGCAGTTTATCCCAGGCAGCTCCAAGTCCGCCTTTTTGGATGTGGCGCATGACGTTGGACCGGGTGGACGTATATGGAGCTGAGCCCGGGTCGCGGCCCCAAACATAGCTCAAGGCCACATAGTTAGCAACCATACGGCTCGCTATCTTGGGTAAGGGCTTCAGCTGCATATCCACAACGTCTATAACGCCAAAGTAAGGGCCCTCGACCAGCTGGTAAAACTGCTCTTGGGCACTATTCCCGGGAGATAGCGAGCTCCTACACCCTTGCCCATGCCCGCCCGCGCACAGGATAATCCAGGACCGGATCAGGGAGATCTTATCGGACTCTTGCACGACCCGGCGACCCAAAAAGCGCCTTTCGGAAGGGGTGGCTTCTGGGTGAGCGAGGCAGATGATGAAGATGTATTGTTGGAGGCTGCTAGCAGCTGCTGGGTCTGGCTTCCAGGATATCCGGATCCGCCTGGATTTTTTGATGAATCTGTCTTTGCCGAGCTCGACCCGGCCGTCTATCTCCCAAGATATGTAGAGGATGGTGTTAATTGGCAGCTGCTCCTGTCCTTCGTAGGACACGGCGTCCCAAACGGCGGCGCACAAACGGCAGTTGGATTTTCTCGCGTGCAGCTGGGCCAAAGTGGCGAACGGTTTCTTATTGGGTCTGGCAAATCTGCTGTCGGAGCCGGTGCTGGCCGTGATCTTGAACTTGTTTAGCGTGAGGTCGAGCTGGCGGCATGCATCGCAAAGTTGGGCCGCCCCGGTCTCCATCTTGGCCAGCTTTGCCCGCGAGCGGGACCTGCTGGCGTGGCAAGACGGCTGAAATGTCGGGAATGGAAAAAGGGGCGGGCTGGGTTATGCATGATATTTATAGATGAATGCAGGACGGGAGGTGTAGTCGGGCACTCGAAGCACCACCAAATAAGCGGCCAAGCCTCCCCATATGACGTCCTCACCATTTAAACCCCGCTCGCCCCGCAAACCTGCATCATATCCCCTAGCCTTCCCTAGATTTATTTCCTATCCACGTCAACCTGCTCCTTGCTCGAACTTCCTCCCAGCTCCCTATTCTCATCGGGCCCGGCCATAACCCCGGTGCCTTCAATGTCGGCCGTGTATGTGTCCATGGTGACGCCGGGGGCGACCGGTTGATCTCCAGCGCCACGCGCCTCACGCTTGACAAAGACGTTGAAGTACCTCGGGTAGACAAACACGGAGACGGTGACGACCATGACGATGTGCATGAAGGAAAAGGCAAAGATCTGCTGCGGGTCGGTCCGCTTGGAGATGAAGAGCGGGTAGGCCAGGCTCAGCAGCATCAGCAGGACCGGGGACGTCATGTACTTGAGCAGCGGTGCCCAGAAGCTGGGGATCTTCCAGTTCTTGCCCGTGCCGACGACGCCGTTGAGGTCTCGGGTGAGTTGGTTGCCCTGTTGTTGGAGGTTCGTGATGCCAGTAATAATTAGAGACTGGGTACAGACTACAGAGGACGCAGCAGGCAGACGGGTACGCACCGAGTAAAAGGCCATCCACCAGAACCGCCGAACAAACCTGTTGCCGGCAAAGACGCCCGGGGGGGACACATCGGGGTCCTTGGCCAAAAAGACGGCCATGGTGGTCGCCAGCAGCAGCAGGCCAAAGCCGAAGCCGGCCCCCACGCCCGGGTGCACCATGTGGCCGACCACCACGCCGAAGACCTGGGCGAGGACGTAGCCGCCGTTGTACGCGAGCATGGGGGCCAGGCCCACCTGGTTGACGACGTCCTTGTACCTGTACAGCGTCGTGGCGGCGAAGCACTCGGACCAGGTGACGAAGAAGAGGGCGAGGTAGTTGACGTAGGTGTCGACGGCGTCGAGCAGCCCGTAGCCGAACTCGGTGCAAAACATGAGCGAGATGAGGAACGACACGACGGTGACGATGGTGGACCACCACGGGCGCGAGAGCCTGCGGCCGAACTCGGTGTCGCAGATGATGGCGACGACGCCCTCGAGCAGGGCAAATGTGGACGTCAGGCCCAGCAGGAAGAGCGTGAAGAAGAAGACGACGGCGAAGAAGTTGGACCCGGGCATCTGCGCCAGGGCCTCGGGGTAGGTGATGAAGCCGCTGGTGAAGGTGCTGAGGCGCTCCTCGTCGCTCGGCACCAGGCCCAGGAAGCCGACGATGCCAAAGACGGCAAAGGCGCCGACGATCTCGATGGCCGAGTTGCAGAGGGACACGATGAGGGCGTCCTGGACCGTGTTGGCGTACTTTGCGTTGTACGACGCGTACGACGTGAAGTAGCCCATGCCGATGCCGACGCTGAAGAAGATCTGGCCCGTCGCCTCCTGCCAGATGGTGGCGTCGGCCAGGGTCTCGCCGCGCCAGGTGGCAAAGTACAGCCGCACGCCGTCGACGGCGTTGGGCAGCGACACGGACCGCCCGATGAGGATGACGATCAGGATCAGGGGCAGCGCCATGGTGACGTAGATGACGCGCCCGATCAAGCCCGCGCCCTTGAAGCTGCAGAGCCACACGACGAACCACGTAAAGGTCGTCCAGGCCACCGTCTCGCCCACCATGCCGGTGCCGGGATACGACTTGTACCGCGCGACCGAGCCGTCCGGGTTGAGCCAGCCGGGCTCGGCCTCGACGTTGGCGACCACGACGTCGCTAAAGAACTCCTTGACGCGGCCCGTCCACGGCAGCGGGCTGATGAAGGAGACGCGAAAGTAGTGCATGACCCAGGCGATCAGGGGCACGTAGTAGGTGGCGATGACATAGCCGCTAAAGGCGACGGACCAGCCGCCTCCCTTGGCGCGCTTGTTGAGGTTGTGCCAGGCCAGCACGCAGCCGCCGCGGAAGGCCTGGCCGACGGCCATCTCGAGCATGAGGATCGGGATGGCAAGAAGCGCCAACCCCATCAGGTAGGGGATGAAGAACTGCAGGCCGTGGTTGTTGAAGACGATGGACGGGAAGCGCAGCAGGTTACCCAGCCCGACGGCGCCGCCCATGGCCGCCATGATAAAGGCCCAGCGCGAGCCCCATTGATCGCGCCCGTCCTCGCCCTTTTCGGCGGGCGGGAGGACGAAGTTGACGGCTTTCTTGAGTGCGTCCATGGTTCTGACCGGGGAGGGGTCGGGCACGGAAGATGGAGAGGCAGGAGGAAGTCGGTGGGGAATGGGCCGGGCAGCAGCAAGCGGCAGACCTCGCCCTTATTAGCACTTAGCAGGCCGCGTCGCACGACCGCGACAGGATCGACCGCCCAGCCGCCACGCCGGAGCAGCCGCTGCCAGCCCAGAGCAGAGACATGTCGCGTGCGCGGGGCCCAACCTGGTTTGCGCGCCTTGGGAGGATGCGGAGGAAGCCGCCGGGGTCTTGGTGGCTCTCTTGGCGCTGGGCAATGACGCAGCTGGCTCTATCGGCGCGCGGCCACCGGAGTGGCTCAATCCCCGCACGCCCAGAGCCCGGTCTCGGCGCCAACCACGCGGCGGGCCACCAGCTGCCTATTTGGACGGCGCCAAGCCGCGGCATCGAGTGTGCAAAAAAACGGGGATAAGATACGCAGTGAGACCGGAGGGCTTGGCAAAGGGAGCTTCTCGGCAACGAAACTACGTATAAAACAGCCACTACTGCTGGTACAGCTTGATAGAATTGAACAGCCAGTACGCCTCGGCGTAAGCCTGAGGATTCCGTCCCACGTACGCCTCGCACGATCCGCCAGGAGCAGAGCGGCACTGGGAATTGCCCTCGGTCTGCTCCGTCCAGTCGTAGATGATGTCGCCGCAAAACGCCGTGTTGATGATGATGGTCTGGTTGCTGAACCGCTGAGCGACGTTGCAGGAGCCACCGGACTGGAAGCTGGCCTGTGGCGCTCCCCACTGCGTTACGGAGGGGATCGGCCGCCCGCTTACAATGTCCGAAGGGATGCGGGAGCGCGGGAAGAACCAGATCTTGATGCCGCTGCTGTCGAGGAGCGTGGCGTAGGCGCCGCCATTGTTGCTGTTGAACCCGGACCCGAACGAGTTCGCGGCCCCGTCCACGCCGCAACCGGCACTGCCAAGACAAGGAAGGGTGTGAATTGGGGCAGACTTGGGGCAGACAGAGTCTGGTCGGGAAGTAAGATTGCACTCACGGGTTGTCACCCCCTTCGCAGTTGGCCCCGGCGTGCAGGTCGCAGTCCTTCCTAAGCTCCGGACCCTGCAGGCTGGGGAAGCTGCACGTGCCGCAGGTGTGGAGCGAGACCGTGTTGGCCGACTGCCTCGTCCACCCGTTGCCCTCGAGGATGTCGATCTCGCTGTAGGGGCTCTCTGCAAAGTTGAAGCTCCAGCTGGAAGCGTGCCGTTGACGTCAGTTGGGTGTAGAGGCAGGACTCTGGTCTAGAGAACCTACAAGGCGGGCCACACGCCGCATGCGTTCCCCGGCATGTGCTGGATGTCGGCAATCAGAAGGCCAGTGTCGAACGTCTGCTTGGACTCCAGCCGCACGCTCTTCCGGCCGATGCCCGAGGTGGGCACCGTGGCCTTGCTGTCGGCGCCGACGTAGATCTGGTTGCCTCGGTACTCGGCCAGACCCGCCCGCGTGGCCTCCGAGGCGCTGACGTACTCGACAAAGCCGTTGGTAGGGTCGTTCACCCCGATGAGGCGTTGGAAGTATGCTGCCTGTAGAGTGGCCCATGTTAGCTGCGGTCTGGTGATTCGCCCCTGGGTCGTGGACCTACATCTCGGAAGTGGAACTGGTCGAAGAAATTGTTGCGGTCGTAGGTTCTTGTCAGCCGGTACTGGGCACTGACGCCGGCTGCCGTGGCCAGAAGAACGATGGACGAGGTAATCAGCATTGCAGCGAGGTTTTAATTACACCAACAACTGGTCAAAGAATGAGTCGTACGGGAGAAGGCATCATGACCTTTCTTCTGTACAGAACGGCAATATTTATACATTTGCAGTCTACCAGCATTTCCTCCTGTCAGCGCTATGTCCGAGTGTGATATCGCTCAAAAGCGACCCTTGACACGATGGCCCAAACTTGGGGGCGTAGTAGGATTGGAAAATCTCTCCTATCGTGCCACTGGCATGTTGCATTGCGATCATATCGAGTTCTGTGCCGCTGATAAACCCACCAGTTCGGACTGACGCCTCGGACTGGAGCTTGTGTGAGACGGGATGCAACGCTACGATGGCTCGACGCAATGAAGAACTTGTGATATTCCCAGGAAGGCAGGCACTTCATCATCTTCGTATCATTTATTGAGACTATTAGGTTAAAGGCACCTTCTCCACCGTCAGCACGGCGCAGCATTGCCATGTGACGGAGAAAGATGGCGAGCACCACGGGAATGTCGGCCCATGGTGTTCTGGTCGCCGTGTGGGTGGCCTCGCCGAAATGGCTGAATGGAGGTAGGACTAAAGGTAAAATGAAAATGGTAGCGATTAGCAAAAAACAAGGATTGCGCGCGCCGGGACTCGAACCCGGAGCCCATCGGGATCCCGTGAATGGGAACAATGGATTTTACCCTTAAACCACACGCGCTTTTAGGATTGTTGGTGGGCAAATGCTGCGGGATCGTTTTTGGAAAGACGACGGCAGGAGTGTGGTGGTGGCAGGAGCTCGAACTGGCACCTTAACAGCCAGCCGTGCCTTCCTCCAACGGCCTGCAAACGCGTCGAATATCGGGCATTGCGCGAAGTTGGGTATTAGCGAGTTTTGTTTTTCGAGTTTATGTACAGCATCACACGCAGCCACATGCTACTGCGCCTTGGCGTGCTTTAGGGCGGCGACGAGGTGGTCGGCCAGTTCCTTGGGCTTGCTCATAAAGGGCGAGTGGCTCGCGTTCATGGTGGCGGTAAAGGAGCCGGCGGGGAACTGCGCGGCCATGCCCTGCTGCACGGCGAGGGGGATGGCGTTGTCAAGCTCGCAGAAGATGTAGCCGACGTTGAAGCCGTGCTTCCAGGGCGCGTAGGTGGCCGTCTCGGTCGTGATCTTCCACGGCTCGGAGTGTAGGGACGCGGACGCCTTGGCCACAAGCGCCTCGTCGGTAACGTCGTTGTACTGGGTCAACGGGTTAGTTTGAGCTTATTTTCAACCATGACCAATGGAGTAGGAGAGGGCTGGAGCACTTACAAAGATCTTCTCGGGAGTCAGAGGGGAAAAGAACTGCTTGTCAGCAGAAAGGCTCCACCACTCGGGGAGAGTGGGGCCGACGCCGGCGCCCAGGCTGCCGCCGACGTCGAGGACAAAGGCGGTCATCCAGATCTGGGAGACGATGCCGCCCTTCTTGCCGGTGGCCTTGCGCTGGTGGGCGCCGAGGCCCTCGACGGCGCTGCCGATGATGGCGCCGCCGTACGAGTGGCCGACCAGGACGACCTCCTTGCCGGCGTCGACGAGACGCCCGACGTCGGCGCGCAGGTTGGCGACGTCGGCGTAAAAGGCCTCGTTGGGGTCCGTGGTGCCGACCGAGGGGTTGGTCGAAGCCGAGGTGGTGTAGCCCTGGGCCTCGAGCTCGGCGCGGACCAGGTCAAAGGCCCAAGGGCCGTGCCAGGCGCCGGGGGTCAGGTGGAAGTGGCTCATGGCGTGGTGGCAAGGCTTGGGAAGGGCGGCTGCGACGATGGCCAGGGAAGTCAGCGAGAGGGTGTTGAGGAGCCTCATCTTGGACTGCGGGGACCGTAAGGACAGACCGTTGGTCTTGTATGGAGCAGCAGCAGCAGCAGCGGCAGTACACAGTGGCAGGAACGCAACACAGTGTTCTGGGGCGTGGAACAGGCAGGGGTCGGCCGGCTTGGGCTGCAACGGTCGTGTCCTGGATCTGATTGGGCACTGAGCGGCTCTTGCAGAAGGGTCTGTCTGAGCCGGTTGGCTGGCTGGCTGGCTGCATCAACAAGGACTGCGAGGATGATGCTCACTGGCTGGCTTGGGCGTTATATAGCCCGACTCAAGGTCCTAGACCCCCGCATGCCATCCCAGTCCATCAACGAGCTTTCCGGGGGGCCCTGCGTCGTTGGCGGCAGCCGCGGATCCCTACAGGAGTCTAGGATATTAAACGTTAAAAGTGCGAGCCCTCCAGGGGGGTCTGCGATACATTTATTTGGCAGGATTTTCTGTGGGAAAAAGTGTAGTTGGAGATCCCCGAAGGGCTCCGCATTTTTGACGTTTAATATCCTAAACTCCTGTACACAGTGAAGGATCGGTAAGCGTGGATGCCGTCCCGGGGACGGCGTCCCCTATCGAGCTCCATCTCCGCTCAGCTACCTAAGCGAGCCATGCTTGCCTAAAAGGCGGACTTGCTAGCCAACCAACTGGCTGGGTGTGGTGGTGGATATCAAACACTTGCCCACGGGGACCAGGTGGGGATGGTTTATAGAGTCTCGCCAATCTTGGAAGAGGGTGGTGTACAGGTTCCAGGGATTAGAAACGTTAGTGCGGTGGATTAACCAGGGGGGTAAGGGTACACAGCGTGCTACACAATTTGTAGTAAAGATCAATGTATGTTGATATCTTATTTGTGGGTAACGATTCTACCCTTTTAAGCCGGTTCAATTTAGCAGGCACATTAAATAAGTAGGGATCGCAAAAGTTCTTTTCACGCAGTGGCTTGATAGTAGAGTTACCTTATCCGAAGCTCTTTTCCAAACCATTTGTTGAATTAAACCAGCTGGAAAGGGTAGTGGGTTCTAGCAAATGGAGGTGCGGGTAGCGATACATCGATTTGGCGGGATTTCCCATAGTGAAAAATGTATTTGGGTACGTGGCTTAATTAGGAAGGATCCACCGCACTAACATTTTTAATCCCTGATACCTATATATCGTGCAACACTTTACTGTAGTAGACAGGCAGGGTTTGCCCCTCGGTGTACGAGTTAGTGCGTTCTCATGCCAACTGCCGTTTAGCGAGATCCAAGGCAGTGGAGGTCGACGGGGCAGTTATCTGCAAATATTTCAGGCGAAGCTCCAGAGTTCTCCAGCGACCAATTACACGGGAAGCAGGGCCTGCTCAGGGGGTGATGGGGCGCCAAACTAGCGTCACGACACAAGCCTCGACGAAACCGGGGAGTCCAGGCTGGCGGGCAAACTAAGCAGGCCAAGCATAGAGCCAAGCACACCACCCCGAAAACAAATTAATCAATCACCAAAACGAAGATCACTTCATGTCCTCCCCAACTCCGTCAATTCCAATGTTTAAAAAAAACAAAACAAAAACTGCTTATATTTGCAAACGATTGAAAAGATAGTATTGTGTATTAAATTGCTATTCAATGGAGTTGCTTGCAGTTGTGGACGGATCTAATCAAACGAATCTGGCAGCCTACGGCCCGATTTTCTACCATTTGGTGTATTACTTAACTCATCGCGGGGTTGGCACACCAAGCAGATCAGGGGAGAGGTGACCCATCACGCCGGGTGGCTTGGTCAAGGGATCCTGGCAGGCAATCAGCCGACTCGGCCCTTGGGGCGACAAAGTTCACAAAATTCCTGGCTAAGCCCCCCGCGAGGCAAGGACGAAATTGGACAGTGAGGGAAAACAAGACGCGCCGGCCACACGCCCTGGTGCAACTACGACGTGAGCCGAGAGAATGGCGCGCTTGCACTTGGACGGGGAACTCCCGGCGGCACTCAAGAGGCGGAACCTGTGGCCCAGGGGCAATGTGACGCGGGTGGAAAACGGGAAGGGGGAAGCGGAAAACAGCAAGTTCATCCAGCGGGCCGTCGTTGTGTCGCTCTTTTGAGCACCAAGTAGATGTGGTATCCTTGGGCTGGGACATAGATATTGGAGGTCGCTCCTCTTGCGTGATTCTTGCCCCGTCGATCGATCGCCGCCGTCCTCAGCCAAAACCTCACCATCCCGGAGAATCACCGACTGCTGCCACATCACTGTTTAGCCCCTGATGGCGCTCCCACCACCGCCCGCGGGCCTCGACCTGACCGAGACCAGAGTGCCCGAGATCTATGGCTCGCTGGTGCCAACATGGATCTTTGCCATCATCGCCGTCGGCCTCCGCGTCGCCGCCCGGCGGCTCCAGGCGAGCAAGCTGTTTCTGGATGACTGGCTGGTGGCCATCACTCTGGTACGTGTGTCCTCGGTTTAGTTCCCGTTCTCAATATCTGGCTGAAGGTTATTGGAACTAACAACCTAACC